TGGTGGACATACCAGTTATTGAGCTTGTGACATGGTCGTTTGACCCCTGTCCCGCTTGTGGACACGTGACGTCATTGTGATTGACTTTTCAATTTAAATTCTCCCGATTTGTTATGGTCTCATGATCCCTCCATTAAAGTTTATATGTACCTTTGACATTGTTACCGTACTTATCAACTGGGATAATATTTTGACAATGCACAGTTTCTTTATGTGGCAAGTATATAATCTGTCATGGCAGCTATAGTGAAGAATAGCATGACCAATGTAATATCAATGAATGGAAAATCCTTATCTTTTTTAGTGGCATAGTAAATTTAAATTTCAAAGAAGGCACATAAAACTCTGGACAATGAGAAACAACAGCTGCAACTGAACCGAAGTCTTTCATCAAAGGTCTATTCAGGGCGGCGTTCTACCTGCCGAACATGAAAATAACTATTTTAATATTTTTTTATTCTAAACTGAGACTACATTGGCAGTCAGGCTGGATAAGTTAATTACTGATACAAATAGAACTTCAGCTGTTGGCAGTGGGAACGTCCACAGACGGTAGTCAGCTGATGGGGACATAAATAGACTCCCACAATGGAGACCTGTAGACAGAAGGCTGTCAACCTGTTGTAATTAGATGTAAGTCTATAAAAAGATTCAACAGGTTTCAGATGAAAGAGTGTTGTTTTTATGTAGGAAACAAAAACACTTCCCTATTGTTGTACAGAATAAGTTTGATCTTGGTTATAGGCAGTGCAACATTCTATTCTCATGTAACTTCTTTGAGTGGCATGTTAGAAGTACAATGGACTATGGTACAAGAATCTGTACTGAAATGTCACTATTACAAAATAAAAGAAGTTGTTATCCATAAATGTAGATCTGGTTAAAATTGGTTTTAAGGAGCTAATACTTGTCTCTCACTTGCATCCCATGACTGTTGTACAATGCCACTAATGGGTTTGTGTGGTCAGACTAACAGACATATCATCATCCCCATTGTCTAAATTGATGTTCATGATCTCAATCAATGGATTGTCTGGTCCAGACTCAATCATTTACAGGTTGCAGGTCATACAGCCGGAATACTTCCAAGTATTGCCTATTGGTGATGTCTAATTTCCCACAATTTTACAGACAGGGCCTTTCTGGTCTGCCGTGGTGTTCTGTTTCCATACAAGTACAAGGACCTTAAACCCTTTTGCTCACCCTTGTGTTCCATTTTCTGTATGGGTACAAAGACCTTAGACCCTTTCTGGTCTCCCTGGGTGTTCTATTTCCACACCGGTACAAAGACCTTAGACCCTTCTGGTCTTGTTGGGTGTTCTATTTTCCACATGGGTACAAAGACCTTAGACCCTTCTGGTCTTGTTGGGTGTTCTATTTTCCACACAGGGTACAAAGACCTTAGACCCTTCTGGTCTTGTTGGGTGTTCTATTTTCCACACGGGTACAAAGACCTTAGACCCTTCTGGTCTTGTTGGGTGTTTAGTTCTATTTTCCACACGGGTACAAAGACCTTAGACCCTTCCGTCTCCCTAGGTGATACTTTGTCCCATGGATACAAAGAGTTCAGCCCCTCCGGGAGTTTCTCTGGATGTTATCTTGTCGCATGATCACATGAGTTATCAATGGTTTTACAGAACCAAAAGCAATGACAAAGACAAAAGATTTTATTCCATCACAGTCGGTAAAATTGCTGATTATGGAGGAACAAGTTAAATTGATGGTTCATAAGAACAAAGGCACTGTAGCTCACCTGTATAAAAAATGTGAAATATTGTGAAAAATATATACCATCTAAGTGGTACATACACAATGGTACAAAATGATACGATAATTTATATTATGTTTCAATATTGAGGCATGAGTCATTCATCATCTGATCATTCCTGGAAATGACAGTGAACCGAGGGATTGACCGTTTGTTATTCTGAACTGGCCTGTGATATTTTCATTAAAATTGCCCCAGAAATGTTAGAAAAAAGTAATTACGCTTCATATGGTGGAACAAAATTGCCCATGACACAAATTATATTGTTGAAGGTTGCTTTTAAGAAAATATAATTTGGGTCACTCTGTCATAAGATCACCTGGTTTTGCAGCTATAACTGAATCTTGGTCTCCATACAAAAACCTTTGCCTCCACACAATATTAAATGACCAGTCCCTAAAAAGAATTTAGCATAGCAAGAAGCATGTGTACTCAAAGTGATCAGTGAGTAAACATGCTATTGTTACACTGAATGGTGATGCCAGTCTAGAGGTATTCCTTGACATACTTGGTATGTGGAAGCCTATATTTCAATGTTGAAATTAATGGTATATCCGTCTTTTGGCAAAGTGTGACAAATCAATAACATATTCATCTCTAACCTTGTAAACAAGCATAGGTACACATTCTATTTGACATCCAAGTTTAATTAACTCCAACCACCCATGTGCACAGGAATGTCCCCAGGGATCTTGTACGTCAAGACAAAGAAGTATACTTGTTGCTTAGAAAAGGCAGGTTGGCAATACAGCACATGGTACTTTGTCAGTCAAGGATATGAAACCTTGGAACAGAGCACAGGGAGATACACCAACATGGGCTTGAGTGAGAATTGAATGATTGGATGGGTATCTCAAAGTGATGCAAGCCTTATATGTTGGCCACTTTGGAGAAATCAAATCAGGAATAATATCAGGGCAAACTGGGACTCCAAAAAAACAGACAGCATCCTGGCATACCTAAGGGACAGAACTCTGCATAATTCTACAGTGAGACGAACCATGAAGAACACAGAACAATATCGACAAAAAGAAACAATGAAAACAATGATGAACAATGATGTACAATGATAGAAAATGGACAATGATGAACAATGAACAAAGATGAACAAAGATGGACTATCAATCAAATCTAATCTTGAAGTTTAGCAACAAAAATACTGAAGAGTCATTTTTCCTTCACAGAAACAAAATACTCATGTAATACCTATGTTATTTCAATAACTTTCATATTTCATCATGTTTCACATTTATTCACATAAATCATCAGCTCATTTAGGCAGAAACCAGAGGTGTCAGACTGATGGTAGAGATTGACGACAGATTATAGGAACATTATTTATGTCGGAATAAGGACAATCATAAATACTTCACACTAAAGTCTTCTTAACTTATGAATCTAGAACCCCAAAAGACTGATTTTAACTCATGACTCATAAAGGAATCTTGATGTTGGAACTTGTGAATCGTGAAGTGAGGACAGGAATGGATGAATGAATAACATAAAGCCACAATGTCATGCTTTTTTGACAATATTTTGGTCTATAATATATATATTGGGGATATGCTCTCACTTTAGCTTCCTATTGATACCATGTAAGTCTTATTATCCCTTACGACTTGCCTGAAATCAATTATTGAAATTTTGAGGTGAACAGCTTCCAAACAGACAACAATTGCCATATATGGAATGTAAATGATTGCTCCGTACATCGAAAACTGTGGCATGTGGTGTTGTCTGTGTTTGAGGAACTGGCCTCAATCACAAGTTCCGTTATAGGATATTTGTAAAGAGTATTCCATGGGACATAACTCTATGGAGTTCGTTTGAAATAAAGTTTGTTCGGTAGAGGAGAGTCAATTTAATGCAACGTTGCATTAATTTCTTCGACCTTTTTAATTTCAGATTGTAATCTTAATTTTTTTCGGAATAAATTATATGGTAGCTTCGCTGGGGGGCTGATAATTAGTACTGATGAGAGAAATACAAAATTGATTTTTAGAGAAGTGTGATGTGATAGTGTGCCTTTAATGAGAGTGAGTGAGGGAGTTGGGTTTAAAACCACTTTCTGTTGTAGGTCAGCATTCAGGGAATAAACCAGATAGAATACATTTCAGTGAGTGAGTTAATGAATGAAACAAAGCATGCATGACCATGTGCCTGGAGACAAAGCTTTCAGAAAGTTTAATGGCAGACATGTGAAGGCCATTTCCAAATTTGACGAATCAGTGATAAAAATGATGCTTCACGTCTCCTTTGACTGACATGTTTTAGTCTTTTAGTTTCATGTGAATTGACTTGTCTGTGCATGTGTTTGTGATGGGTACCATCAGTGGGGCAGGATATGGTTATCATTTCGGTAACACCTGGAACCATCAATATTTGGTAGGGATTCAAGAACAGATACTCGTGACATATATAAACTGAATAATAATATTTTTCTTATAATTAAGGAAAGAGCTTTACTGCTTTTACAGTATTCCTTAGTAAACAAAACAATGAAACACCATTCAGGTCAAGGGATATAAAGAAAGTAGAGAGAGTCAGTTTACAGGCAATCATATGTACAACAGTACACCAACATAAATGAAAGTGTGTATGAATATAGATTCAGAGTGACAAAAATATCTCCACAAGGCTGTATGACAGAGGAATGACTTCAACTTTCCATTAGTCAACTGTCCTTTATGTCGAGCAATATTCCAACAGCCCAGCTTTGGGTGTTTTCAGTTCACAACTTTTGAGCTACAATTGAACATGCTCCTTTAAAGATTTCAAAGAGCGTCATACCACTCTTGCTCAGTTGTTTGATCAAGGCTACAATATTCAAGGCCTCAGTAGATCTTTCAAAAGTTTTTATCTTAGACAAGTGGAGGCCATTTCCAAATCTGATGCATCAGTGACAAAAATGATGCACGATGCCATGTCCCATTTTGAGATATTCTGAACATTTCCACGTTCTTTCAGTGAAACATTTGACTAGCCTTTGCATGTGTTTATGACATGTTTAAGGAGAATTCTGTCATCGGCACAATCAGCTAATATTTTACTTGAAATCGTTCTCAGCTGCCAATCACCAAAATATAAAGAGGAACTATACAAACTGTACAGACACAAGTGAAATGCAAACGAAATATCATCTGTGGTTACAAATTGCACAAAATTATTCTTCCAAACATTCAAATACTACTTGTTGGATGTGTTTGGTTCTCATTTACTGCATAGGGTGTTTGGGTCTCATTTACTGCATAGGGTGTATGTACTTGGGTCATGTCTATTTGACTGGATGAAGTAGTTGAATCTTGTGGGGTCTGCAGGAAGGATGTGTCCTTTTCATGTCAGCTCTCTGGGGTGGATATGTTTGGTTCATGTGTTACTGGATGAAGTAGTTGAATCTTGTGGGGTCTGCAGGGTGGATGTGTCCTTTTCATGTCAGCTCTCTGGGGTGGATGTGTTTGGTTCTGAGTCACCATCTGACAGACGTGCCCTCTCTGCATCGATCACAGCATCCACAAAGTTGCCGATTAAACTTCTGTTCACACTTAACATGAACCTGGTAAACACAAAATCTGAAACAGAGAGACTGTCCATCAACGTGAGAATGAGGGGTGAAAAAAGGGCTCAGGAAAGTGTTTGGTCGCTGAATGTGGGAGTGAGTGAGTGAATTGAGCTTTATGCTGCTTTTAGTAATATTGCACAATATCATGGCAGGGGACACCAGAAATGGGTTTCACACATTGTACTCATGTGCGGAATCGAACCTGGGTCTTTGGTGTTATCATGACGAGTGAACGCTTTAACCACTAGGCTACCCTACTGCCCCTTGAATGTGGGAAGAGTGAGGTAAGATCATCAGTAATATTACAGCATGTCAGCTTGATATGGAAGGAAAACCTGAAGTGATGTAGGTCTTAGAAGATTACCACTTTGATGAGACCCATAGCATTGACTTCTTTGAGTGGCGTCTTAGAAGTTGGGAAGTACAATAATGACAAACCTAATGGATAACTTCTCTAATTCAAGTGTGACATTTTTGTACAGATTCTTGTACTGTTATACAGCAAGGACTCGTTTAGTGCTGACAAACCTAGAAACATTATCAGGGATTCAAACCATGATCATACGTTTCTTCTAGGTGATGAGAACTGCTGCCTACTGGGCCACCAATAATATTCTGATCGAGGTCATACCACATTGGTGATAGTATTGAAACCCATTAGCATGGTGCTGAAGAACCAGGAATCAACAGAAATCTGGAATTCAAACCCTTGATCATAGGATTCTGGCACACCCAAGGGACATAACTTGCAGTGCCTTATACTACTAAAACCTACATGCACTGAACACCTCAATTCACAACTGGAATAAACATTCAGTTATTTTCATGTCAAGAACAGTGAGTGAGAGCAATATCATGGCAGGGGACACCCCATGTGAAGAACAAATTGCTATCCTCAAAGGTTAAAGCACTCTGCGTTTTGAATGGAGATGTTTCCAAAACATTTTCAAACACATTTTAAACATTGACTCGAAATTGCATGGTTTGAACCTGAACATGATCAGTACAACCTTTGTCTTTAAAGTATCCATCTTTAAAAGGCCACAGTTATCTTCAGTCAACTGTAAATATTGACATTTAGCATTATTTCGTTAAATTGGTTTATGGGCAGCATTTACAATTCCTCGCATATCTTTAAATTCTAGCACTTGTCTTCACTCATAGTATCCATCCAGCGGAGCAATGCATGAGGCGGTGTATTATTTCCGCATAACACAATAGCAGCGTTATGACATTTAGCATTATTAGCTAAATGGGTTCATAGGCAGCATTTACAATTCCTTGGCATAACTTTAAACTCTAGCACTTGCTTTTGCTTATAGTAAACATCCAGTGTAACAATGCACGAGGCAGTGTATTCTTTCTGTATTCCATAATAGCAGCTACGTCACTTCCGGGGGGACGTCAGATCCGCAGGCATACGTCACGTCTGCTTCCTTTCTCTCCTTCACGCTCTCCTGTCCAGTTTCGTCTCCATATTGCCTCTGCTCAAATAATTTCCCACACACCCTTCCCTTTCATAGCGCAATACTGAGGGCTGAGGTTGGTAACGATATGACTTATATTAAGTCCTGATTGTACAGACACACTTGTGCATACACTGTACCATAATTCTTTTTCTCAATAAAATAGGTGTGGTGGGCGTCATGGTGCTGATGGGACTAAGCAGCAGCACTGCTCAAACTAGGGATACTTGACTTCTGCTTTTACAGCGGCAACCCAAACCTTCCTGCCTGCTGTCTCCGTTTCCAAAGCTTTTCCATGGTGGAGGGCCATAAATAGCTAAACTAGATATCCGGTCCGTCTGCGCCATCCACACCGCGCTCTTTGTCATCCACACAACTGTCTTGTTTAGTCTGTTTACTCATGCATACCTTGCCAAAGTCATCCTCATCTATCTCCTATCATATCATCATAACAAATTTAAAGGTCTGCATGTAACAAATGTAGAATTTATACAAAGATGTGGTCCTTCATCCTTACCATTTACAATGAATTTTTTCGGAAGAACCTCCAACACCTCCATGTCCGGTCTGGTCTGAGCCGACCACTGGGAATCAACAGACTCCAAGTACGTCAACACGCTTGGATGCAGGTCAGTGAACCCCTCAAAGTACAACACCTGCTGTAACCATACACCTGGCAACTGTGGACACTTTGACACCTGGAACATGAGTGTGTTTGTGCTGTAATCATGCACCTTCCTCTTTACAACAATCCAAACAAAATCAATTTAAACAAAAGTGACAAACACTTTTCCACAATCCGGTGAAATCTGTGAGTCTAATGTATGATTCCGAATATATCATGAGCATGTTTACAAATCATTATCAAATTGAAATGACACAAGGTGTTTGCAAGAAGGAGATCATATCCTGCCTCACATACATACAAGAAATAACATGATACTATGAAACCTTGTGGACCTCAAAACTCTATATACTATAAGGGTAACGCTATTTTTCTGGGCATTATCATTTGCAGAAGCCCCATGGTAGCATCTGCGGAGGTCTTTCATTAACTGTCCGACGAAGGAGACATGATGTCATTGGTGATTGCACATCAAGAGCTGAATTCCTTATGACATCCTTATGACAAGAATGGGCGTGATAATGGCCTGTTGTCATGTTCGTGGGCATTATCAAGTTACAGTGGCCCGCTCATTTCTGATAACATGTGGGCATTTTAATGATAATTCTATCCATTTTAGCTATAAACCAAGTTATCCATTATCTTTGACCAGTTTAAGGGCATTATAAGGCTACACATTATACAGGGACCCAAAGTTCTAATAGATTTCAATGTGAAAGAATTCAAGTCAACAAGGTTTCACAGTATTGCATTCACATAAGCAAATTCTAGCCTACTAATGACATTGCCTTCAAATAAATATCACAAAGGCTTGCTAACTTGGTTATTACATGCCATCTTATCTGTATTACATAGATTGATGATTATGACGTCAATCACTGGATGGCCTGGTTCAGACTTGATTAATTACGCACAGCCATCACATAGCTGAACCCGTGTGAAGATCCGGGTTTGAACTGGTCTTCCATAACCCATGCTTCTCGTAAGAGGCGACTAACAGGACCAGGTGGTCAGGCTCGCTGAGTTGGTTGACACAGGTCATTGTATCCCAATTGCGTAGAATGATGATCATGCTGTTGATCACTGGATTGTCTGGTCCAGATCCAATTATTTATAGACTGCCACCATATAGCTGGAATATTGCTGAGTGTGGCGTAAAACTAAACTCACTCATTGTATCCCAATTGCAACATCAATGCTCACTGGACTATTTACAGAGCATTGCCATTCAGCTGAAATATTGCCGAGTGTGCCGTTAAACAAATAACAGTCTCAAACTTGGTGGTCAGACCCTTGCCTACCTGGGAGAACAAGCGTGCTAGGATGTAGAGTAGGCTGGAGGTGAAGAACGTCAGGGAGGTGTGGAGGTGTAGCACAAGGTGGCCCCCCTCAGGTATAACCTGGGGAATAAAACAAGAAATCATTCTTCTTATACAAAACAGGCCTAACATGGCATTACTTGTAAACACAGTAATTTCTGTTAGTATATTGGAATACTGACGAGTGTGGCATTGAGTGAGTGAGTGAGTTTTACGCGCATTCAGCAATATTCCAGCTATATGGTGGCGTCTGTAATAATCGAGTCTGGACCAGACAATCCAGTGATCAACAGCATGAGCATCAATCTTTGGAACCGATGACATGTGTCAACCAAGCCTGACCACCCGGTCCCGTTAGTCGCCTTTTACGACAAGCATTGGTTACTGAAGATCAATATTCTAACCCGGACCTTCACAGGTCTGTGGCATTGAACAACAAACAAACAACATATTGGAGTTCCACTCTGACCTATAAACAAATTTCACTGCAAAAACTACATAAAAAAATGACATAAAATAAAAATTATATTAAATGATCACCTTGAGAACTCGGATCAGTCTTGACAAGAATTTCCTGCGTACAGCTAGTTCCTCTCTACCAGTCTCAAGGGTGACGTCACAGACACTCAATACAACAGTGTTGCCGCTGTCAGAGATGTGCATGTCACCGATGTTGTCCAAAGTGCTACACCTGTAGGGAAGGTGTTCTTCAAGGTAGAGATGCAAGTCGTCATCTGCAACCATCAGTGCCACCTGTTGACTGTTGGCACCGGCTGACTGAGATAGCAGCTCTGAGATGACATGTGCCACCTCCTTGTAGCAAAGCCCTGGGTCTCTATCTGTAGTTAACTGAAACAAACAGTGCAACCTGGGGCTCTTTTCACGAAGCAACCTTTACTAAGGTTAACCCTAACTCCCATTCTTTAACATTGCACTAAGGTTACCTTAGTGACTTACGATTACCTTAGTGCTTTGTGAAAAGAGGCCCAGGGCCTCGTTCCTCAAAGCGATTGTAACCCTAAGTCGATCGTATCTCCCATACTTTAACATGGACTTACGACAGTCGTAGCGCTATGATCGCTTTGAGGAACGGGGCCCTGGTCACATGTACAAATCTGAGTCTCTTGGCCCTTAGTGACTTACGATTACCTTAGTGCTTTGTGAAAAGAGGCCCAGGGCCTCGTTCCTCAAAGCGATCGTAGCGCTAAGATGATCGTAACTCCCATACTTTAACATAGACTTACGACTGTCATAGCGCTACGATCGCTTTGTGAAAGGAGGCCCAGGTCCAGATTAACAGTATCCTTTTCCAGTAATCAACATATCATCTGAGAGTGGTGTACCTGTATTTGTGCATTGTTAAAGATTGTTCATCTGATTATCAACTAACATGTCCATGGTCTGTGAAGGAGTGAGTTTGGTTTTAATCTGTTTCTCACAGTTGGCTTCACCAGAAGTGGGCTTCACACATTGCACCCATGTGAGGAATCGAACCTGGGTCTTCAGCAGAATGAGCTGAACACTTTAACCACTAGGCTTCCTCCTGGAGCCATAATCTCAGACTGTTGATCTGTTCGTAGTTAATCTGTTACGACTGTTAATTTGACAATGGCTAATCCATGCATGGTCTAAGACAGTGTTCATCTGATGGTAGCTAACCTGTGCATGGTCTAAGACTGTGTTCATCTGATAGTAGCTAACCTGTGCATGGTCTAAGACTGTGTTCATCTGATGGTAGCTAACCTGTGCATGGTCTAAGACTGTGTTCATCTGATAGTAGCTAACCTGTGCATGGTCTAAGACAGTGTTCATCTGATGGTAGCTAACCTGTACATGGTCAAAGACTGTGTTCATCTGATGGTAGCTAACCTGTGTATGGTCAAAGACTGTGTTCATCTGATGGTAGCTAACCAGTGTATGGTCTAAGACTGTGTTCATCTGATGGTAGCTAACCTGTGTATGGTCTAAGACTGTGTTCATCTGGTATAACCAGTGTAGGTCTAACCTGATGGTAGCTAACCTGTGCATGGTCTAAGACAGTGTTCATCTGATGGTAGCTAACCTGCGCATGGTCTAAGACTGTGTTCATCTGATGGTAGCTAACCTGTGCATGGTCAAAAGGCAGTGTTCATCTGATGGTAGCTTACCTGTGCATGGTCTAAGACAGTGTTCATCTGATGGTAGCTAACCTGTGCATGGTCTAAGACTGTGTTCATCTGATAGTAGCTAACCTGTGCATGGTCTAAGACAGTGTTCATCTAATAGTAGCTAACCTGTGCATGGTCTAAGACTGTGTTCATCTGATGGTAGCTAACCCGCATGGTCTAAGACTGTGTTCATCTGATGGTAAACCTGTGCATGGTCTAAGACTGTGTTCATCTGATGGTAGCTAACATGTGCATGGTCAAAGACTGTGTTCATTTGATGGTAGCAAGCCTGTGCATGGTCTAAGACAGTGTTCATCTGATAGTAGCTAACCTGTGCATGGTATAAGACTGTGTTCATCTGATAGTAGCTAACCTGCATGGTCTAAGACTGTGTTCATCTGATAGTAGCTAACCTGTGCATGGTCTAAGACTGTGTTCATCTGATGGTAGCTAACCTGTGCATGGTCTAAGACTGTGTTCATCTGATGGTAGCTAACATGTGCATGGTCAAAGACTGTGTTCATCTGATGGTAGCAAGCCTGTGCATGGTCTAAGACTGTGTTCATCTGATAGTAGCTAACCTGTGCATGGTCTAAGACTGTGTTCATCTGATAGTAGCTAACCTGTGCATGGTCTAAGACTGTGTTCATCTAATGGTAGCTAACATGTCCATGGTCTAAGACAGTGTTCATCTGATGGTAGCTAACCCGTGCATGGTCTAAGACAGTGTTCATCTGATGGTAGCTAACCTGTGCATGGTCTAATACAGTGTTCATCTGATGGTAGCTAACCTGTGCATGGTCTAAGACAGTGTTCATCTGATGGTAGCTAACCTGTGCATGGTCTAAGACAGTGTTCATCTGATGGTAGCTAACCTGTGCATGGTCTAAGACAGTGTTCATCTGATGGTAGCTAACCTGTGCATGGTCTAAGACTGTGTTCATCTGATAGTAGCTAACCTGTGCATGGTCTAAGACTGTGTTCATCTGATAGTAGCTAACCTGTGCATGGTCTAAGACTGTGTTCATCTGATAGTAGCTAACCTGTGCATGGTCTAAGACAGTGTTCATCTGATAGTAGCTAACCTGTGCATGGTCTAAGACTGTGTTCATCTGATGGTAGCTAACCTGTGCATGGTCTAAGACTGTGTTCATCTGATAGTAGCTAACCTGTGCATGGTCTAAGACTGTGTTCATCTGATGGTAGCTAACCTGTGCATGGTCTAAGACTGTGTTCATCTGATGGTAGCTAACCTGTGCATGGTCTAAGACAGTGTTCATCTGATGGTAGCTAACCTGTGCATGGTCTAAGACTGTGTTCATCTGATAGTAGCTAACCTGTGCATGGTCTAAGACTGTGTTCATCTGATAGTAGCTAACCTGTGCATGGTCTAAGACTGTGTTCATCTCTTTGGTGAAGTAGCCATCACAAAACCGTGAGCTTTTCACACGTGAGAGTGGCCTCCCTTTACCGGCTGTCCAGTGGTTAATCTCGGATGGATGTAGGGGGTCTGTACACTGTAAAAGAAAAAAATAACGTATATCACATTAATATGCTGAGTTCAAGCTTGTCTTGTGAAGTGTATAATTTCACAGTCCTCCATACACTGTGAGGTTTGATTGTCTGATGTTTTACTCTGCACTCGGCAATATTCCAGCTTTATGACAGCCGTCTGTAAATAATCGAGTCTGGACGAGACAATCAAGGGATTGACATCACGAACATCGATCTAGACAATTTACGATGTGATAACATGCATCAATCAAGTTAGCGAGCTTGACCACCCAATCCTGTTAGCCACCTCTTACAACAAGCCAGGGCTGCTGAAGACCAGATCTAACCCGGATCTTCACAATGAGGACTACAGGGTTTTTCAATTTACTCAGACATTAATGTTCCAAAACGAGGTATCCCAACCTGACTTATGAATTCTTCCACGCATGCATGCACGCATGCCAGTATTTGCAATACTTTAATTTGCCAGTTGACCATCAGGGCTTGCTGCTGCCTGCAGGCTTTAAAATCTACAGGCCCAGAATGAAATCTGCAGGCCCATTTTGTTAAAGTCAAACCAATGAAAACAAAATAGACTATACTGTACACAGTTTCACAATGTTTCTACAGAATCAATTAGCGAAGCCTATGGCACACAGAGCAGTTTGTATTTGTCAAAGACTGGTGTTGACATTCCTATGCACAAGCGCTGAAATACCAGGAAGTGATACTGCAAGTTATCATATTATGATGGATCGTGGATGATTCTCGAACGTTAATAAAGAAAGAAATATGAGAAAGATTCCAGTTGAAAAAAAAAAAAAAATGACAGATAATTTACTGAAGGCCACTAGGGCCTGCATATCTTTGGAACTGCCGGCCTGATACAATAACAACCGGCGTTGGGCCTCTGGTCCGGCAATTATTTTGAATGCTGACACACACGCACACACACACACAAAAATAAGATGTCGTCTCACCTCCAGCGACATGTGGTCATCCTTTACATCTAGCTTCTCCATCAGCTGCACCCTCTGTTTCCATGGCAACTGACTCTGTTCCACCCTACACTTGAACGACCCTGAGTGTATACGCTGGGATACAGGCTTGTCATATCCACCGCCCTGTTTCCCGGATCGACGGAGAGATGATTTCAAACTTGGATGCATAATTCTGAAACAAAACATACGAGAAAGTAGGATACCTTTAGTATAGATAAAGGCGACTTCAAATAGTCTGTTTCAACCTTCTAAAAGCAGAAATAAACCTTTCGTCAAAGTTTAAATAGGAATGCATCAATGATGTCAGAAGTCCTGAGTGAGTGAGTGAGTGAGTGAGTGAGTGAGTGAGTGAGTGAGTGAGTTTACTTTTATGCCGCTTTTAACAATATTCCTGCAATATCATGATGGGGGACTTCAAACATTGTACTAATGTGGGGAATCAAACCCAGGTCTTTGGCATGACGAGCAAATGCTTTAACCACTAGGCTACCCCACTGCCTTGAAGACCCTGGATCTTGATGAGTCAAAAAGGGAAACTGTCGAAAGATCATGGATCATGCATCAGCATTGATATACTAAGTGGGTGTATGACAATCAGCCAGCTCCCTCAACACTATCACTCCACCATAGACCCGTGAAGATCCAGGTTAGAATTGGTGTTCAGTAACCCATGCTTGTAAGAGGCTACTAACGGGATCGAGTGGTCAGACTCGCTGACTTGTTTGACACATGTCATCATATCCCAATTGCGTAGATTGATGTTCATGCTGCTTATGACCGGATTGTCTGATCCAGACTCGATTATTTACCGACCGCCGCCACAAAGCCAAATACTGCTGGAGTTAAACAACAACCAATCATACAGAACGAACACAAACATTCATGGTGTCAAACACCTGAGGAAAGAATGTTTTAGACTGTTTGCACCCACCTTGTGTGACTGGTGTGTGATCTTCATGTAGCCGGGGATGGTGTTCACGTGGTAGGTGTTGACGAACACCTCCGTGCAGTAGTCCCTCATGGCCTGCATCTTCGTCCTCTGGTCCGGCGTGAAGTCCCCGTACAGGTGAATGTTGCTGCGGATCGTGTCTGACTGATGCTTTGTGAAGAATCGGCAACATTCAATGTGTTCTTGCAGAAATGATGGAGGTATATCTGCTTTCTCAAATATTGGGATTTCTTGTGTGGCTGTTGAAGCTGAAAATATCCTCAATATGTTAAATTTGCAACCCAGGGAGATAGAGGAGTGTGGAGTTGTGTGCGTGTGTGTGGTAATATTCCACTTACAAAGTTATATGGTGGTGGTCTGTAAATAAATGCATATGGACCAGACAATCCAGTGTTTGACATCATGGGCAATACTGTATGCAATTTATGTCATGCATTAATGAAGTCAACGAGTGTGTGTGTGTGTTGTGGGAGTCAGTTATAACCTAAGTGATAAAATTCCACACTAAACTACAAAACGACTATGAATTTATCTGTATTTCAATAAAAAACAACCAAAGATAGCAAGTAAGTTGGGTTGTGCTTTATGCCACATTTAAAGCAGAGGACACCAGAAATTCAAACACTCTACCAATGTGGGAAATGAAATGCTTTAAACGCTAAGCTACCCTACTGCCTCTTAAAGATGGGTCAAACAAAACCTAACATACACTGTCTAAAACATTTATAGTATTATGACGAAAGCGTGAAATCCGAGGTCGAAAAACCTGCTTATTCACGACTGTCAAGTAACCACCATGCTTGGGGATTTTACGAGACGCTTTAAACATCCCGCACCGTGTTCGCAACCAATCGAGTTGGTTCACGGTGATTGAATTAATTAGGGTCAAGCGCTTCAGTTAGTACCGCGGAGCGCACTCGTCTCGCGTACAAGAGACGATAGGCCGTTCGCGTACACGTTACGTCTCTGACTGGTGATTACTTAACAGAACAGGATTATTGGTAAAACAAATTTACAGCTTTCAATCTCCATACTGTTTTGCATCGAGTGGTACTTGCATGGATATCCTCTGCATCCTGTACTGAACCAGTAGCCATTAATCCCTCCCAGTATACTCACAGAAGAAATGCTGACACAGCGCCTCGAGTGCATGACCTTTCATCTGCTTCCTGTAGCCCAGGCAGACGGTGTACACCTCAGAGTTACCCGACTTGCTGGTAGGCGGCTTGAACACGTTCACCTGAACAGTCAGTACGATTAGGAAATAAATCTACAAAGTTTTGAAATTTGGTTTAACTGCTGATTACAGGGATGCATTCAGCCTTTTTGATTTAAGAAAGTGGGCCAACACCTATCTGAACCTGGCTCAACATGTTTTAGGATTTTTACCAAACTTATGACATCACAATCCGCGGACACCAGGAATAGACAGTCACATGACCATGCTCACTGATGAATTTATAAAACCAAAAACCATCAGAATGTTTGTCTTTGATCATAAATATCTCAGGAATACAACGATTAGCGCTGAATATTGCTTTCGCTCAAGATACAAGTCACAGTATATCATTGACATGGTTATTACTAAAGCGTTGTTCAAATTGTTATTTTTGTTTCAATTATATCTTGCACTACGTCAACAAAGAGCACCAGCTTTCTTTGCAAGAAATTTCAATTTGTGGAAGTAATGACATGCCTAGATGCAGCCCTGGATTAGGTACCCTCTAGTTTTTAACCAAGTGTAGCTTGTGTTTGATAAGCTACAATACATGTATTCCTGATTCTCCGAAATTTCTAAATGTGTATCAAAGACTTAAACTGATAAGCTGTTGTGATGGTTTTGAGGTATCCAATGGAAGTATATTCCCTGATTTTAATGTTATTTTGACCAATGTCATGGTATATTCCACCTCAATCATTGCCATATTTTTCTTTACATTATCAGTCGGTGTAGAGGCTGATAACCCTGTCCTTTTTAACTCATAGGTGTAAGCTGATAATGCTCCATGTCTTTCCTTCCATTAACAATAGAGCAGACTACTTAAATCAGTGAGTGAGTGAGTGAGCATGGTTTTTTTTAGCAATATTCCAGCAGCATCCCAGCAGAAGACACCAGAAATGGGCTTCACACATTGTACTCATGTGGGAAATGGAATCTGGTTCTTCATCAAGCCACAGTCACTCCCACCTCAGGGCATTGGTTGATGTAGCAAATGGCAACCATTATTGTCTCAAAGAAAGGCCTTAGTGAATATTTTATGAGTGTTTCAGTCACTTTCGTCAGCAATGCTACATGAAAACATTTTGGTGAAAAAGTTGTAAATAAAGAATGCTCAGAGTGGGGTATAATATAGTTATACCATATCTTCCTCAGTGTATTGGTGAACACTGGATTCAAACCCACACCTGTAGGATTCTGTCATGGGATGGCACTCTACACATCTAACAGCGGGGCCACCTGTAGTAATATGCCTTTGGAAACTGGCACGACTCCTACTTAAGGCAGAGGTGAGAAACTTTAAAGTTTGTAACGATGTACAACTTTTCTTTCAGTGTTAGTGACAGGATGATGTCATATACAAATATGACGTCAGTACAACAGTGATAACATGAGTGAGGGAGTAAGTTTAGTTTTACGCTGCTTTTAGAAAGATTCCAGCAATATTCAAGTGGGGGATGCCAGAAATGGCTTTCAGAAAGATTCCAGCAATATTCAAGTGGGGGATGCCAGAAATGGCTTTCACACATTGTACCCATGTGGGGAATCGAACCTGGGTTTTCAGCATAATGAGCGAACACTTTATCCACAAGGCTACCCCCACTGCCCCAGTGAGAACATGAATTAGAATTACCTGTTCGAACTGTGAACAAAGAAGATACATAAGGCACACGGTGGAAGACTCAAACATTGTGAAGAGTTTCAGGACAAAAGCTCCCCCTGGTGATAAGATCTGAAGAGCTGTCAGAACTTCACAGTAGTGCAGATGGGACACCACAACCTCCTGTTCGGCTGGAGTGTTCTGACAGTCGATACTGCCGTCTGCCGTCACCTGCAATACAAAAATAACTGTAACAGGACACTCCAACACCAGTTTAACGAGGAATTATCACTGTGATCTGTAACAAATACCAGCAGACCAGTGGTTGATGGAATGAACCAGAGATGCCAACCCCAAAGTGTTGCCAATAGGAGTTTCAAGGATCACAATTAGTAGTTAGACCATAAAATTAGTAGTCAACTAAATACTTAAAATCATGATGAATTCTGAGAAAGATAATATGACACTAATCAAGAGTGAAGCTTTGATTTCACATACCTCAAACAGCAGATTTCCAAATTATCAGCATTACATTTCTTCGTTTCTTCTTGTCGTCTCTTTTAGGTGAAAATGTATTTAATCGATGAAAATATATGTTTTAGACTATATATCCAAATTTTAATTAATTTTCTTCAAATTAGTAGAATTCTAGTGCAATCGTATTGTCTTAGTTTGAGGCTAAAATTCGTAGCGAGGTTGGCATCTCTGAATGAACCAACCAGGACAAGATGATACACAATCAGTATGCTCCATAACTGTATCGAATCTTAGGGCAAAAATTAGAAGGTACTGAAAATCAGTCCTGATGCAGCAGAGTATTTCCAAACTTCCTGGGATTCGAACCACTGACCGTCATTTTTGATAACTGACATCAATACCTTCATTCGTGAACAGGTCCATGTATAGCTGCCTGCACCAACACTCACAAACCCTGTCACCGTGGCTACTCACCAGTTGGATATCCCCCATGTGATGTGTTATATTCTTCAGGCCCTGGAGGTTGTCGTAGTCCATGATGTTCCCGGTTCCGTCCTCCCCGAAGTACCAGTTGTCCAGGGTCAGCCTGATGAACCTGTCATCATCGATCATCTGGACTAGACTGTTCCCCTCATAGTAGGGACTCAATGTTGTACCGAGCCATGACCAGGTTCCACTGAAAGCTGCAGAAAATATACAAAGTCATGTCCTAACTTTAATTTAAAAATGAGTTTGAAATTACTTAAATTCAGGACTGCCTCTGTGAACAAGTAGATAGAGCACATGCCTGGAGAGTGAAAGGTTGGAACCCCATCCATCATATCAGTGAGTAAATTTGGTTTTACACCGCTTTTAGCAATAATCCAGCAATATCACAGTGGTGGTACAACAGAAATTGGCTTCACACATTGTAACCATGTGGGGAATCGAACCCGGTAGGAGGCCATTTCTTCCCCGGTCTTAACCTTCCCCAGGGAGAATCTGGCCTAGGCCAAACTTTCCCCGGGGAGGTTTTGTCCTAGGATATTCTTACCCCGGGGAAAGTTTGGGCTAGGCTAAAGTCTCTTTCCCAAACACACACCACCCCCCCCGTTTAAACTAGGAAATTTTGTTCAGTTTTCTATGAAAAGTGGGGAGATTCTGGCCTAGCTAGGCTACTTCTTCCCCACCCTTGTTTTTATACCAAAGGGGGGATGATTCTGGCCTACCTAGGCTACTTCTTCCCCACCTTTGTTCTTACATCAAAAGGGGAAGATTCTGGCCTAGCTAGGCCACTTCTTCCCCACCCTTGCTCTTATATCAAGAACCATTTTTGTGAAGACACATTGCATTAGTTCTTCACCTGTCCAAATCATGTCACCATAAGATGTAAACATTCAATCGCACATTTGATGGGTAAATAAGATGTAATATACACAGGTTGCTTGTTCTCTTATCATGCTGTTTACTATCTAATATTTGTTGTATTTATATATGCATAAATGTAATGGAACATTATTCACATAAGCTTGTTTACTAATCCATAATCACTTTTGGTGAATGAAATATGATTCAGATATCCATGGGCCAAGCATACCCCTTATCAAACCTTGTCTTTTGAATATAGAATAGTGAGTGAGTTGAGTTTTACGCTGCAATCTATTTCTCAATTTTTTATTTTTCATCAAATTCATTAATGAAGATGCAACACAACTACAGTCGAGCACCGATGTGTCGAACTCTGATACTTGATATCTCGGTTGTCTCGATATAACATCCCGGCAAAATACTTCATAATTTATCATTATTCAAGCTCTTTTAACTCGATACGGATGTCTCGATTTTTCGGATATCTCGATATCTTGACATAATTTCATGTTCCCAACAAGCAGAATTACCCTTTTAACTCGATATTTGCAAAGAAACTCAATATTCACCTACCTCTCATGGGCAAATATCCCTCTGAACTGAGGTTGTTTACACACGGTTTGGCATGAATCAAAGGGATGCGGTAGTGTAAACTAATTAGGGCTAATTGAGTTGAAGGTGTCACTTGTTTGTTATTTAATTAGGATTAATTAAGAAGGATTTAATAAGGAAGTACTCCCTGTTATGACTAAACACTACTGATTGCGGATTATAGTTTTGAATCAAAACATACTGACAAGCGTTTTGTTTTCTTTCATAGTGATATGTGATGATATGCCCTGGTTGGATGTCTCGAAGTTCGGATAACTTGATATTTTTTCTCGGTCCCATGAATATCGAAACAACGGTGCTCGACTGTATCTATTTTGGAAGATTGTTTTCATCAAATAAATCAATGAACCTTCAACACAACTTGGTTTGTTTGCTTGTTGTTTAACACCACACTCAGCAATACTCCAGCTATATGGCTCGGTCTGTAAATAATCGAGTCTGGACCAAACAATCCTGTGATCAACATTACGAGCATCGATCTACGCAATTGGGATACGGTGACATGTGTCAACCAAGTCAGCGAGCCTGACAACCCGATCCCGTTAGTCGCCTCTTATGACAAGCATGGGTTACTGAAGATCAATATTCTAGCCCGGACCTACACGGGTCGAATAGAATAAGGCAATATAGTGGAATACAGATGATACAGTATTTGATATAGATATTGTGTTGGGTTGTTGTTGTTGTTGTTGTGTTGATGTTTACGTCTGCTTCCAACTGTTAAGTTGATGTCGCCGAGGTGGATGCCATATTTAAAGCCATGAGAGAGGGAATAACATTTTGAATGGATAAGGTGGAAAATCTCACATTATATAAGGATTTTGAAACAAAATGTGAACCATGTACATGTTATATATGAAGATGAAGATGACCTGTAAATTGTTAATGGAACTTGACATCAACATGAATATCTTATCAATGTGTTCACGTGAATAGCTATGTCTTGTTTCCGACTTCTTCAAGACGAACATAAACATGAAAACAAGGTTTGGGAAGAAATAGCCTAGCTTGGCCAGAATCTCCCTCTTTTAATATAAGAACAAGGGTTTGAAACAAGTAGCCTTTAAAGTTGATTCAAGGGTGTTGTTGTTGTTGTGTTAGGTGCTTTTGAGGTCGCCTTCGCCGGTTGGCATGTCGGCAGACCTATCCCTCCTTGGGATGCGTGGGGTTCAAGGGTGGGGAAAGTTTGGCCTATGACAAATTTTACCTGGGGAAGATTAAGCCTAAGGGGGGGAAGTTTTGCCTAGGCTAAAGTTTCCCTGGGGACAGTTTGTCCAGGGTGAAAGTTTGGCCTGTTACACCGGGTGTTTGGCATGGCGAGTTAATGCTTTAACCACTAGGCTAGCCCACCTCCCCTCCATCATATCTAAAGTTGCTGAAAGATGGTACATTTACTTCTTGTTGCCCTGGACACCCCTTGCCATAAAGGAGATCAAAGAAAGACTGATAGCTTAGAGTCAATACACTGCATCTGAGTGAAACACACAGACACACAGACACACACATGCACATGTGCATGCACCTTCCTGTGTAAGTGCAATAATCTTGAATGTGAAATTAAACCCCACTTACACACAAACAACTGAAAATGAACTGTCTAACAGCCACCAGAAATGGGCTTCACACATTGTATCCATGTGGGGACTCGAACCTGGATCTTCGGCATGATGAGAGAACACTTTAACCACTACCCCCACTGCCCCCAGATCCATTCTAACCCTGAATCCCTGTGTGATTCCCCAAAAGTACACAACCCAAGAAGTAAGTCTCAGGGCTCGATTTAAGAGATGTTAACCTAATTGCACCAGGTGCAACTTAAGATAAAAACCTGGCTGCACCAGCCAATTCCAGTTGCACTGCTTTTATTGCAATATGTAGATGCAATTATTTAGATGTTTCATTCAGAAGTTTACCCACTCAAAATGTGACTTACACCTGGTGCAAGTTAGACAAATAACTACATTGCACTTTGTAATATTGGGTTGCAATAGTGCAAGTAACAAAGCACTAAATCGAGCCCTGAGTCTGACTATCAAAAGGTCACATTTCCTAGAATACCTTGAGACATGAGGAAGTGGTTAAGAGCAGCAATGAAGGCGCCGGGTGCCTCACACAAATGGACAGAGTTGAATGTGTCTGCTCTCAGTGGGACAAGAGTGAAGGTCGACACAATCTCGAAGAACTTGCCCCATGCCTGCGTACACAGCTCTGCATGGAAGACCTGTTTGATCTCTTGTACAACTCCACCTGCTAGGTTGGTGAAACAGGTGTGCTTGTGCCATTCCAGAACATCCTTGTCGCTCAGCTCATCCTTGAGGGCATTGAGATCTTCCTTCAGGCAAAGGAGATCCTTTATATTCCAGCAGAGATCTTCATTATCTGATGCTTCACTGACTTCCTGGCTTTCTGTCTTCGATCCGTCATTGCAGACGGCTAACCTCCTTCCCTCTCCGACCTGCTTCCCCTGTGTCTGTTTACTATCTTGACAATTCAGTCTTGGGGTGACGGTTTTGTGTCTGAGAGTAGAATATCTGAATTTTTTATCAAATAGTTTGTCCACCTTATCCTTTGAACTGGGATCTAGCTGATGTGTGAGAGTATTATAAGAATCAAAGCGTTTCCTTTTAGGTCCCATCTAGAAGCTGAAACAAACAAGAGTGATTGAGTGAGTGAGTTGGGTTTTACGCCACTTTTAGCAATATTCCAGGGCAGGAGACACCAGAAATGGGCTTCACACACTGTACCCATGTGGGGAATCGAACCTGGGTCTTCGGCGTGACGAGTATGATTTTACACCGCTTTTAGCAATATTCCCACGGTGGGGGACACCAGAAATGGGCTTCACACAAATGGGTCTTCAGCGTGATGAGCGAACGCTTTAACCACTAGGCTACCCCCACCGCTGAAACCAACAGAGTAAAATACATCACAACATACACTACTCAAAAGAAGCTTAGGGCCACCTGATTCATATACCCATGAAGATCCAGGATAGAATTGGTCTTCAGCAACCCATGTTTGCCATAAGAAGAGACTAACGCCAGGGCTTATTTAAGAGATGTTAACCTACTTGTACCAGGTGTAACCTAAGATAAAAACCTAGTTGCACCAGCCAATTGCACTGCTTTTATTGCAATATATAATGACAGAAAGATGCTATTGAATTATTCAAAGTTTAGAAGAAAAATGAGCTGACATAATTAATAATAATAATAAGTGATCTTCTATTGCGCACAGTCTCCAAACACCAAGTGATTGCTCGCGACGCTTAATCAGAATCTAATTATTATTGCTCCAGATAACCAACCAATTATGCTTTTAATGTTAGATTTATTGTTGATTTATTTCTCAAAAACTGACAAATAAACAAAGTTAGACAAATAACTAGGTTGCACTTTATATTATTGGGTAGCACCGTGCAAGTAACAAAGCACTAAATCGAGCCCTGAACGGGACCGGGTGGTCAGGCTCACTGACATGGTTGACATATCATTGTATGCCAATTGACTAAATCTGTCCTCACGCTGGTGATTATTGGATTGTCTGGTCCACACTGGATTATTTACAGACCGTTTAAATATAACACAATGAATGAATCAAGCGTTCCCTAAAATTCTTCATAGTAGTATATATTACATAGACAAAAGATAAAGATATTAATCTGAATAATATGACTAATTCTACTGACAACTTAATAATAATACTGTCATGATGGTATAGCAAGGTAAATCTGTTTGATGAGATATAAATAACGTCATGAATCCTAATGAAGACATGCCTACTCATCACTATAGTGTTATAAAATTGTAACAAGGACAATTGTACTTAGAAATATGATAACCCTGTTTTCCAATTTGTCTGCCAAATACACTTTTGAAATTCCAGATAAATCCAAACATTTTTTATTGATAAAAGAACAATACCAGACAGTGTCTGTTGTAATACATGGATTATTGTCCACTACTAGCTCTCTATATATTTTAAAACAAATTCAGAAGTTTAGGCTTTTATTTAATGTGATCAGAGACCATATAATAACATATGAGCTATGATGTGACTGAATTTAGAATTGAGCCCTCTAGAACTTTACTTACATAATTTGTATTTGGTAAGAGTTCTGTCCGTAACCAGCTTGAAATGTATTTTATTTATTATGATTATTTCTAAGGGTTTGGCTTTGATTTCTAGTTTGGATTTAGCATTGTGTTAGTTTAGTTTAGGTTAGGGTTTGGGTAGGCTACAAAAAAAAAAATCTATTCTTAATCTTAATCTTAGGCATAGAATGCTTAACAACGGGGGTTACGGGCGGACATTTCCCCTTGTATTCCTCTGACAACTATAGGACATCACACTGTCTCATGATATATTACTACAAGCCAAAAGTACATAAGATCAGAGACCATGTCTACATTGGTCTCTGACTGAGTCTGAGGAATCAGTCGACAAACAATTAGACTGTTAACAATCAAGTCATTAACTATCATCGTCATTCTGATTGAAAAAGTGTTCTAAAAGACATATCCTAAAAGTCCACGATACAAAAAGAAGCTGTCAGTTAAAGTACCCGTGTTGATACAGCATTAAGCATTGAAAACGTCTTCTAGTCGTTGCTCAAACTCAACATGTTCTTTCTGTTTACGAGGAGAGTTTAACAAACTCACAGCACTGCAATTTGAGCCTAACACAAGCAATAAGACCCTACACGGAGTCGTGATATACACTTCCGGGAAGGGATAAGCTGGGCCCCGTCTCGAAATCGCAAGGTGGTGTGCGCAAAGGGAGCCAGGAACCAGCTTAGGGAAGGGAGAGCATCGCAGTTTCTCTTATTGAATAAAGGGCAGTAAAATACTATTATTGGCGTTCATAAAATCTTTTATTTTACTTTTAGGTTCATTGAAGATATTAATTCTGCGTTTTCAAAACACTTAATCCGGATAACGAAAATAGTTATCAATGTTAAATATTTCAATGATAAAACCGTTCCATACTGGCAGCGTGTTACAGAACATGGTGATCGTATCTTTGTCAGTCAAAACTGCTGTCTTGTTACAAGCAACACACTTTACAGGCATTGTTACCAATTTGAATTGTGGTTGAACTGTTCGTCTTATATAGCATTCTGAGTCATGAGACCATTCACAACTAATTAAAACGTTAATCTTGTTTAGATTACTGACTAGTGTGATTGTCACCAGTGACTCTGTTAAAACCTCATGTAATCATTAAATAAACAGTTGTATGGTTGACTATACTCATAAAATATAAGAGGATATTTTGTTAATGTTGTCAAATAACATATCAACTTTGTCAGACCACGAGATGAAATATACATGTTATTTGACAACATAAAGAAAATATTCTATTTATTATGTTTTGATCATTGTTTATAAATGATCGAGACATCGAGTAAGTCTGCATTTTATTACGCAACCCAACTACAGTCTAGCCCTTGAGCAGAAAGTAGTTCCAGGCAAAAGTGATATTCTACTCAGTGAAATAACATGTTATTCTACTCAGTGAAAATACCATTTTTATTTTCAGCAATATTTACAGTATTTCACCCTTAAGAATATTATAAAAACACTTAACCACTCTGAGAAGTTTTAAATAGACAAAACTGAGACACTCTGGGATGTTTAGGATTAGAGGTGACGTGAAATTGGGTTTAGGGTCGTGCTTGAGAATATTTCGCTCATATGACGACGTACATGCATGTGTATGTGTATGTGTGGCTGCTTGTACTAGCCGAGACTTAAGCTGGTTTTATAGTGCTAGCCCACTGAGATACCATGCCGCAGTGAAGCATGAATACCCCACTCAGACACATTATACTGACTCCGAGCCGACCAGTCCTTGTTGTACCCATTAAAGCCGAGCGCCAGGCAGGGACCAACAAGTACCATATTTTAACGTCTTTTGGTATGACGCGGTCGGGGATCGAACCCGCGACCTTCCGCTCTCCGGGCGGACGCTCTAACCACTACACCACGGAGGCGGTTGTTTAGGATTAGAACTACTGCAACGACATATAATTAATTTCTTCTAATCCTACTATTTTCTTCTTTCTATTTTATTATTTGACTTTTTCAATTTGGCCCTTTTGTCCTTTGGCCCTTGACCTGTTCCCGTTCAGTCATACAGGACCCTTGACAATTCGGGTTAGACGTGGTCTTCAGCAACCCATGCTTGTCGTAAGAGCCGGATCAGGTCGTCAGGTTCGCTGACTTGGTTGACACATGTGATCGTATCCCAATAGCGTAGATCGATGCTGATGCTGTTGATCACTGGATTGTCTGATCCAGACTCGATTTTGTTATTTACAGACCGCCGCCATATAGCTGGAATATTGCTGAGTGCGGCATTAAACAACCAACCAACAATCCTACATGGAACGAACATCGAGGACGGCCTATGGATAACATAATGTGATCAGTTGTGAAAAATAGAAGCAGCAGCAGTGGAATGGATCACGTCATATCGTCTTTTTTTCTGAACAAGGAATGACTGTGACGTCATCATAAAGGACCAATCAGCATTAGGAGAATATAAAGTGCACGGAATAATTGTATCCTCATAGGTCAGATTATAATATTGGTGGCAGACATGTAAAGTCACATAGTTATGTCGAAGACGACGCCATACGTTTTGGAGATCCTGAATTCCTATGACCAAATAATCTTCCGTAGAATATATCAAATACGATAATATAAACTTTGTTATAGGAACGTGGCAATCTGGGTCCCTCTTTGGGCCAGAGATTCAAAACTTAGTCTTAGTGCCCAAAATGCTTCGCTTCACTGCCCCATTGACTTCATGAATACTGTTAAATCAGCTTCAGAATATATATAATTTTGATAGTAACAAAAAAAACAAAAAACAACTACAAACATTAAAATTGAAAAGGAGCCCCAGTGAGATGGGAGAACCGGAGGAAATCTAGACTTGCTTCATTTAGAGCTTTACCATTACAGGGAGGGTTGGGGAGTAGGGAAAAAACGTGGTTCGGGGACTACGAGACAGATAAGATACACCGCTAATATCACAGTGTCCTAGCCGACGGAATGTACCTTGGTTGTATCAGGGATACTCTACTCCCTTATACAGTCTCCTGCATGGTTGTGTGTATAGTCGACACATACAGCATAACAAAACAACTGGCGACTTTACTTACAAATTGGTATCTATTTCCGGATATTTAGCTACTGTAGCGGTGTCTCTGATTCACTCTTGCATACTAATGTTTGCATTTACTTTCTAACACTGGGATTTTGAAAATATAATATAAATGGCTTGAAACAGTTGGTTTAGCGCCGCATCTGTTCGGAAGGAAAGTACATATCCTCAATCATGACAGTAGTTACTTCTTCTTTAAACTGACATGGATACATTTGGTTACGATGCTGCTACGCTATTCAAGGTATGTGTGGAGACACATATTTGATTTCAGGGGTGACAGGAAGCTAGAATTTGGTGTTCTGCCAACCTGTCATATCAAAGCAAACAATAACGGTTTATCAGGATCGCTGCATGACTTATTTGATGTATGATGGCTGATGTTCATAACGTCAATCACTTGATTGTCTGGTCCAGAACTCGGTTATTCGATGGTTTGCCGAGTACGGCGTTGAACAAAAAAACCCCTAGATTATTAAATCTTGGAAACTGGTTTTCATTCCGGCAACATTTTTAAAGTGTTTCACTGCATATGCAATGATGAGTTAGCATTCGACTTGTTAGTTTATTATATTTCGCAAAAACCTGGACACAAATTAAAAAATATTCATGTATCATGTTCAGAACGCACTCTGTCTTGCAGATGTCATGGAGGAAAATACCTGCGGTGCGTCCTATAAAGTTGAATAAAAATTAATGTATGAATTATCTTTCAATATAGTATTCACGAATATATCCTCATCGATATACAGTTTGGATGTTTGCGTGTTTGTTGGAAGTATGATACACTCAAGCGTGGATTTTGAATATGAACAGCACATGATGATCGTTTAGCTGTTAGATGGTCATAAAAGCGCTTTTGTAAAACCATGAATAACGGCTCTCTGCTGTGGATATGCCGCAAACGGGAATGGCGCAATACTCCGTCCCAGACAATTAAACGTTCATCGGAACACGATATCATCTCTTTGGAGGCCTTGACTATAGACGGGCAACACTCTTGACCGTCAAAACGCATACCCGACCCAACCAACCCAATTTGGCTTCTCTTTCACCGCCAGCACACCTAGCTTGGCGTAGACAGACAACATCTGACGTTCAATAGACCCTTGATAATGCAGGTTAGAATTGGTATTCAGCAACCCATGCTTGTCGTAACGGGATCGGGTGGTCAGAGTCGCTGACTTGGTCGACACATGTCATCGTATCCCAATTGCGTAGATCGATGCTCGTGATGTTGATCACTGGATTGCCTGGTTCAGACTCGATTATTTACAGACCGCAGCCATATAGCTGGAGTATTGCTGAGTGCGGCGTGAAACCACTTATTAACTCACTTAATAGACAGGCATGTGCCAGTATACTGTTCTCCGTTAAGTCCAGACAATTATGATAATATCGGGCAAGGATAGGAGAACGTTTCAGCGAGTCTGTCTCATAGTCCCAGAACCACATTCTTTTATCTACTCCCCAACCGTCCCTGCAATGCTAAAGCTCTAAATGAAGCAAGTCTAGATTTCGTCAGGTTCCCATCTCACTGGGGCTCCTTTTCAATTTAAATGGTTTATTTGTTACTGTCAAGATATATATTCAGGGACTAAGTTTTAGTCTAATAGAGTTTAGGTCAGGTTCCTGTTCCTCAAAGCGATTGTAGCGCTACGACAGTCGTAAGTCTATGTTAAAGTATGGGAGTTACGATCACCTTAGCTCTTCGATCGCTTTGAGGAACGGGGCCCAGGAGCGTAGCTACCATTATAAAAAGAGCCCGGGCTTACACATGATTTTTGCTTTGAAAGTTGGGCCAACCCTCAATACTATCTAAATAAAAATCTGTGCAACCTATCGGGCTTATACCTATACCTATAATGGCTTGCTATGTGCCTGTAAGTAAATTTATTAATGATGCTCCATTAGCAAGTTTAGATTTCCTCAGCTTCCGGCTGAATTTCCTATCTGACTGGGGCTATGGAGTATGGAGTAGCATCACAACTCATGGGAGAAGACCATGCGTCAATGTTAGAAGCAATTGAAATGGTGTAGTTACCGGACGAGATCGTTTGTGACCGTGTTCTACCCTCTGCACAACATGTCAAAACAGATGTTTTACGGTCATTTAACATCCCTGTACTGTACTGTTTCTCCAGGCATTTTCCTCCTTTCTGCAGTGAGATGGTACGACGTCCACAACAGGACCGGAACTAGACGTAAATGCAAGATCAAAGACCAATCTTTGGTTGACATTTCAAACAACACCGCCCAGTCTGTTTCCAACCACCAGGTGTCACAATGAGCTTCCTCTTGACTTTTACTCCATCCTTCTTGTACTTGTGCCTCCTGTTGGTGGTATGGGTTTGTCAGTGGACTTGCTATGAGTGAGTGTTTAGTTTTATGCCGCTTTTAGCAATACATGTATTCCACTATATCAAGGCGGGGACTTCAAATGGATTTCCTATGATAACAAGTGGACGAATATCATGTCGTTATAAAAATAACATAATATTTATATGAATCAAAGTTTCTGATTTTCTGTTGGTAAAGTCATGTTTGGGGATACCCGTTTTGTTACTTTATGACTGTAAACGTTTGTTTTGCTTAATTCAGTATAAGGTAGTGTAATCTTATAAATTTAGTGGCATTAACTAATGTTCGGTTGTACATGTATATGATTAAATTCAAACTGTATCCATGGGACTAATTGTTAAAGGTCACATGCAACCAAAAAAATCAAACATAATTAAAACACAATTATCACTTCTTCATGACATATAATATGCATTGCTGATTATGAAAAAAACAAATAAACAAAATTATAAGCGTATAATCGCAGATCAAAAGTGCAATATTTTGTACTTGGGTTTACCTCCCTCGAAACGAAGCAGCCGGGATACCGAACCCAGTCAGGGCGGGTGGGTGTGCACTCAAGTGTAACGGCTGGTTCATTAGCAGATGCGGCCTCCACAGCTCATTGTGTGTGTATATATAGAGATGTTGGGTTGCTTCAACGCTTTGGCAGGAGAGTGATCCTAAAGTTTGGAAGCTCTCTAAAGTGTAATCAGTGATGTTGCTCATTTTTTTGTGTATAACATTTTGCAATCAACAGACATCATAACATGTCATGTGTTCAAGTATCACACCTGCCTGTCTGTGTAATTACATAATGTGACAGAGACCAAACTCGGGCCATAAATCAATGCGTTTTGTTTATGGTGTATAGCCTGATTGGTGTTAAGTTCAAATCGCTTGTGGTCAGTGATAGCAGCGGTGTAATGAATATTGTCATTAGCAGACAGGCAGGCCGACACACAGGTGTCAATAAAACAAGACATTGAGTTTTGTCTGTGACAGCGATAATCTATATCACAGTTAGAAATTGTGTCAACGCTAAATAATGACATTGCTTTTAAGTATCTAACTGAGAAAGTGACTCGGTAAGAAGAACGTGTGGTGAAATAGACAAATGAAATTATATAAACAGTTTATTTACTGTCATAACATATAAAAAGCTCGCGCCTGTGAGATATCAACAAAACATTATAAAATGGCTCACACCAAAGCCTTCACCGAGTATTCACCAGACAGCCCGCTTCCAAGTTGCGCGAACGTATTTCACTGCGCACGTGCTATGAGCGCAGCCCAGCTGTTGAAACCCGTATTCCCCAGAAAAGTCTGGGGAAAATTAGTGAAACGTTTGAACTCCGATTTCGCGCGTTTTTTTTCATCGCGTTATTTTTCAACTTTATAAGTTGAATTTGTATTTTTGACGCTTTGTTTCGGTAAGTCCATACCGAAAGGTATCAGAATCTGCAAAGTTGTGTTTTACGTTGCATGTGACCTTTAAGTTTACTGAGTTTCTTTCATGCCGTCAAGCTGGAAAGTTCACACAATTTAACCAGAGCTTTAAATCTTCTCACTTGAACTCATCCAAACTGATGTTCAATTCTTAAATACACTATTATCAAACATCTTGTGATGTTTAACTGGATATCTTCAGGGTTTGAATTTTGTTTTCTCAAGGTGTGGAAATGATTATGTACACATGTTCAGCACCACATATTAATTTGATACCAGTGAGTGAGTGAGTGAGTTTAGTTTTTACGCTACTTTTAGTAATATTCCAGCAATATCATGGCAGGGGACACCAGAAATGGGCCTCACACATTGTACCATGTTGGGAATCGAACTTGGATCTTCTGTGAATGCTTTAACCTTTATGCTACCCAAGAATGAAGTTCAGCAACACTGATTCAACCTGCAGAGCTCACTGGACTTTGAATGATGTTCAGCAGCCGTAATGAATCCTGTAGAGTGAGTGAGTGAGTATGGTTTTTCGCCACTTTTAGCAATATTCCAGCAATATCATGGCAGGGGACACCAGAAATGGGCTTCACACATTGTACCCATGTGAGGAATAAAACCTGAGTCTTCGGCGTGACAAGCGAACGCTTTAACCACTAGGCTACCCCACCGGCCCTTAATCCTGTAGAAGTTTGCTTGATGAAATAGTGCTCAGTATCACTGATTACACTTTAGAGAGCTTCCAATCTTTAGGATCACTCTCCTGCCAAAATCGTTGAAGCAATATTGGCTGCATTCTTTCATCCTCTAAATTTTGGTAAAATCTGTGACGATGATTTTAACAAAAACCCAAACTCACAATAGTATTTTGACAATGCGCTTTTATTTACAGATAAAGAATGAAGCGCGTCTCTTTCATGTTTCAGCAAATAAACATACATTAAAAGTTACATCCTCTGTGCCTATGTAGAAGGCCCTTCCTCTACAACAACACATGCAGCTAAGTATACCGGATGGGCATGTACAGGATTACCCACTTGACAAGAAATCTGACAACGGTAATTATCTCTAGTTTGTGATGGCAGGAGAGACACAATATATCAAACAGTGAATTCAAAATGGAAAGGCGCCTCAGCCATACAATAGATTCCGAGGACATCATTTAAAAGAAAACTTCCGCAGCTGTATCATCACGTAAATAGAAAAGCAAGGTCCGAGTTCTTGTCAAGTCGGCCATATTGTATAGGTATTTATTCAATACCACTGTATATCATCTGTGAGACGAACACTCAGAAATATAAAGATACAATCAAGAAATAAATTAAGTATCAACAGAGTTGTCCAGGCTACAAATGAAGATTCAGATTGGGTATAGTAATGCAACAAAATTGGTCAAGTAAACTAATACTGGTGAGATTCAAGAGAGATTGATCCTGGGATCATCAGGAACAGAATTCAGTCGGATATCAGTAAAACCATTATCGAACATTAATATTGAAAAATGTGTGGAAGTCTTGTTTCAGAAAACAACATATACTCGTAGTTCGGTTAACATTTAAATATTGTAAAAATCAATCACTTGTGAACAGCAACTTTGATTTGCATCAATATACATTTATGAGAAGACAAAATGAAACGTGAAAAAGATCGTAGTTCAATATTCTGTACTACATGGTATGTAGTAACACAGTACATTCAGGGGAGATGTGTTGCGAGAGCTAACAAAGTGCAAATACGAAACTTTACACAGAGATGAACTGATCATACTTACAGTACTACTTTATAGAATATACACCAACAATTCGATCAGGTAGGTCAAGGTATACCATAATGTTATCTATAATGAGCATTATGAATCGGGGATGTTGTTGTCATCGTTGTAATGATAAGAGTTGTCTACCTTGTATCGGTTGTATCTCCACCCACAGAAGACAACCACAGCCTACAGTGCCATAACAAAATATCACACTGGTTAGTCCTTTCTACAAACATATATACTGTACAACATACTCTCCAGAGCAATCAGTGAGTGAGGAAGCAGAGTTTGTACCCCTTTCAGCCGAGAGTTGAACCATGGATTTAGTCTGGTTCAGACAAACCACAACTGTCAATAAACCGAGGACTATTATTCAGCAGGTCAATACATGCTCGACTCCTTCAGCCTAATAAGGAGTTTTAGTCTGGCTCACACAAACCACAAATTTCTTGGGACAATATTCTGCGTCTTTAAACTGGTTACCATATACTTGACCTTGAAATGACCTTGAGTGGAACCTGTTAGTCTGGCTCAGACAAACCACAGAATGTCAACAAGGCTAGGAACATCATCTTGAAATTGAACAAGTATCTGAACACTGACCTCTCCCTCATCTATACTTCTGTACAATATGTTGTGCAGCTTTTGGACTTTTTTTAAGAGACAAAATACCGTAGTCAAGTTGTTGCTAAGCTGCATCTAAACAATGAGAAGCATGTGACAGTAATACCCGTCAAACAAAGTACTAACATTTCTCAGGTCAAAATATAGGATTCTTGTAAGAAATAATTCCACCACCTAGGTCAACAACAGTTAGTTGAAACTGAAGATAGGGCCATGTTGAGCTGATCCAGGGGGAGATAGACATTTGCACAATATCAAAACACATGAAAATGTCGTCAATTTGATGGAGATAATGTCCAATTATGCTTGCAAAAGGTAATACCATTTACCATGGACTGCGCACTATCTGTAACAGTTGTGAACTACTTATGGTCATGACTACATGTAGGTGAATGCTCTAAAACAGGACAACACCGACTACCGTAAATCTTCAAATAGCAAACACTATTCAAGGATTTACAGAATACCTGTACACAATAGACACCATGGGGAGGTAATGCACCCTTTTTCTATGGATTTGAAAAAGGGTCAAAATTGTAGTATAATTTGTACAGATGTATTTATCCATATAGAAAAATATATGGTAAGACATTGATATTATGCCTAATTTGTGTAAGTCTGACGAAACCTGTGTCTGTTTGCTCCAAAGATGTTCAGTTTGAAAACACTTCTGTCTTTCCATGACCTTTGTTTTGTTTTTAAACAGAATAACGAGACAGAAACAGAAATTATATGTAAAATAAAACACTCTACTCAAAAGATGTTAAGGACCACACAATGCTTTCATATTACTATATTTGATATAGAAGAATTGTGTGATGCTTAACTTTATTTTAGCAGTATATTTCATAATAGAAAAATGTTTTGAAGCAGTTTGATAAACATTATGTTTGAGGTAACACCCTTAATTTGACTGCAGTTACATAATTAAAAAAAGGTGAAAAGTAAAACTGCAAGCAGGCAAGAAATGTCTTAAAATATATTCTGAATGGCAAATCGATGAGATGCTAGGCATATGGAGTGACAGCTTATTGAAAGCCAAATGAAGAACACAAATGCCAAGCACCAGTAGCTGAAGAGAACTCAACAGATGATTGCGTCAGCATACTGATGAGTGGTCAGATGGCAGTACATCTCTGAAGCGAACAGAGTACCAGGATGAAGACCTTAATTAAGAGCATCACAACCAATGAATGTTAAACACAGTTTTGGTGTTCTGCCTAATTCCACTAGCGTATGTGGCAGGCATCTCATTCAGTGCAATCTTTTACACAGAGCATAACGTTAGCCATAAAACACTCTATTGGCTGCATGAAGTCACGTGACCAATGACTTATAATTAACTCGAACAAATGAACCCTGTTATGTACTACTTTCCATACAACTCACAACTGAAATGTCCCTAGTGCCTTCTCCTCCTGATACTATATCCTAATAAAGATGTCCGGCCTACCCTAGGTCTATGTACACTACTCAACACAATTTAAGGATCACCCAATTCACACATCTATAGTTAATCTGCTATGACATATTACCTATACTTATATGAAAGGATAGTGATCCTTAACAGTTTGAGTAGTATATTGTAGCTACCCTAGGTCTATGTATACCACTCAAAACAAGTTAAGGATCACCCAATTCACATGTCTATAGTTAATCTGCCATGACATATTACCTATACCTATATGAAAGGATAGTGATCCTTAACAGTTTGAGTAGTATATTGTAGCTACCCTAGGTCTATGTATAACACTCAAAACAAGTTAAGGATCACCCAATTCACATGTCTATAGTTAATCTGCCATGACATATTACCTATACTTATATGAAAGGATAGTGATCCTTAACAGTTTGAGTAGTATATTGTAGCTACCCTAGGTCTATGTATAACACTCAAAACAAGTTAAGGATCACCCAATTCACATGTTTATAGTTAATCTGCCATGACATATTACCTATAGTTATATGAAAGGATAGTGATCCTTAACAGTTTGAGTAGTATATTGTCAACACAGCTGGCTCTATTCACATACTGCAGCTCAATGAGTTGTCCCATGAGAGAAGGGGGAGCTGCATTTACAAAACGTATCAGCAGTGCTTGGTTTCAGCTCGTGCTGTAGATAACACATCCCAGGAAATGATAACAGCCCCCCAGAAGAATCCCGGGTGGAGAGTCCCTTTAACACATATGTACATATGACATCTAATGCGGCCATTTCAATTCCCTCTAATCAGTGTACTGATCACAGTAACAGGAACACAGGAATATTCAGCAGAAAACACCTCTGCCCAATAAACAATGTAATATGTCTTCTTCAGTGTGTTGTTCTAATAATTCTATTTCAAGTTCTCGGATATTTACTACATACTCCATATACTGTTCAAAACAAGTTTAAGAACACTATTTTGTCACATAACTAGTATTCTTAACTTATTTTGAGTAGTACATATATACATAATCTTTTTAAGAATAACACTGACTACATAAACAATGACTAAAATCAATTCCACTTGAATTACTATGAACATAAATTAATGAATGATGATAATTTTCGATCTTTAACTAGTTTCCTCTCAATTCAAATAAAATATTGAACTGGTTCAATTTTGTTCTTATTTGGTTGAGAGAGAATATAGCTGACAATTTAGACACACAAGACACGGATACAAAACTACAAAAAGATGATGACAAAATTTGGATTGAATGCTGTAACAGTACATACAAAACGAAAGTGAGTGTCTGTCAATCTTGGCAAAGCATCCAGGTTGAGTAATGATCATTGTCAAGCATATGATTTTGGCACAATGGTTATATTAATGTGCTAAAGTGTTTATTTGCCATTTCCAAACACACAACAAATGAAAAGGAATACAAGAATAAAATAGTAATTAAAGCTCCAAGCATATATATATATATATATATAGAAGAGTTCAAAGATATCTTGAGTGGTTCCTGACGTCATGCACTGAGAAAGTTCCTTAAGTGTCCGATTTGATAACCTGCTTGTTTTCAAGGCCGTACACATTTCTATAGCTTACTTTCAGATTCGCTGGCTCACCAATTTAAAATATGAAAAAGAAACACACAAATATTCTGAGAATGAGCAAAACAATTTTAATGGTCAAACATTTTGACACCTAATAAATGAAAATCTGGTATCTGTTAAAATTGTTTACTTAACAATTTGTCAAATGACTAAGGATCTTATTCCACCCTTCCAAACCTGTCTTCAACAAAATCATATCTAAGAAAATAAAATGTGCAGCCCAACCAAATATAATAAATAGTTGCTTTAAAGCTTAAATTATCTTAACTCTCCACCCCATGGAGTTTTCAGATTGGCCGAAATGTCTTGCGCTGTATATCGACATAAGTAATTACTCTATTATCTTACCATCAGCAAGACTCTCTGTTCCTTAATGACGGACACTTGCTTCAGTTTGTAGACTTACATGAAATCATCACACAAAGATTGATATTTCACCTTTCATCATAAAATGTTGCCTAAATAACTTATTCATTCTCTTGCTAACAAGATAGATCTATCATTCTAAGCAAAAACACAATTCTACAATGTCTACCGCCATCTTTGGAAAATCTGAGAAAAATGGAATTATTTCTGTAGCAAGATTTATAATATCACTGTTGTTCCTCCTCCCTGTTACAAACAAGCACTACCAAAACTCCACATACATGAGGAGGCATGACCAATAACAGAAAGCCATATATACACATTATAAAATATCATACAGCTCTTTAGCATATTGTCATATCATAATGATACCGAGGTCATGTACAGTATTAGCTTAAAACGTAAATACAGAAACTGACAAGTCAAGTTAAGTATTAAATATTCACAGACTAGTTGTTATCTTGTCCGTCAGAATGAAAACATCAGGGTTGAAGTGGTATTTCTGTTTCATGTCAAGATTTACAATTAAAATAAATAGTGTGACCTACAGTACGGGATATAAGTGGCAAAAATGGTTCGTCAAACTTGCGGAATGATATCCAGTATCTACAGGTATATCAACATGAAACATTTCGTTTAATCACAGGCATTGAGCTATTATATTGATTTAAATATCTTTTTCATTACCCTAATGTTATTTCAGAAAAAGGCATAAAATATTTGTCTATAAATATTTAAATTTTGAGTGAAAACCAAACTGAGAAGTATCTGGAAGATGGTATGAGTGAGTAACAGACTAATATAGTTCAGTCTATCTGACTAAAGCATTGATATAACACTTTTCTCTTGACATGATTTCACATATAGTTTAAACAAAAATAAGTACAAAATTCTGTACACTCTCCTCTAACATGCTGTAAGAGGGATAAAGTGTCCCGCACATTTATTTTATATACTATATCATGGCTTGAATTGTCTTTGGGATTCCGTGTAGACACCAGACGACCTTGAGATGTGATTCCCTGCCTCCACGCCATCCATCTGGGACTCGCAGAAATCCTCAAGGATCTTGTAGCAGATAATCTAACACACTGCTCTAACAACATAATCTTGAAATGAAAATACAAGTCTTCCAAGAATGGGACATATATCTTGTGTCTTAGCAAACACATGAATTAAAAGGTCATGGAATCGTGTCCATAGTATTTTGTCACTTTTGAGCAGTGTAATCATTTTGTGAAATCGCAGGTCTCAGTTAGACCCGTGGTGTGTGTCAACCATCACACTGTAACAACCATTGCTCATTGGTATTCTCTTCTCAGGTCGCCCTTCAAACACAAAATAATGAGTCTACCCCTGCATTCATCTTGTGACTTAGTTCCAGGGCTACTGTCTCTAACGTTGCTACACATATTTCACTATTGTCAAAAAATAGCCACACTGAGTTCTCCGTAACCATGGATACTATACATTGTATCATGGCAATCTTTGTTCACAGTGTACCTTATACACCTTTGGTTTCACAAACGACACAGTTATTCACACTCTGAAAATTATAGCACCCTAAAGGCTGTTGCCTCCCTTGATTGGAGCTCTCTGGCTCGGGAAGGGAAGCAAGTGCACAACCATGGAGTATGGCAACGAGAACAGGACTTGATCTCTCTCAAAGTCATGTGATATGTGTTTCTGTCTGACTAGCTCGTCGCGCGGACCACACACTTCCTGTCACAGGAATTCTGGGACATCAACATACTGGTACAGTTATTTGGCTGAGTTTTTCGTCTTTTGGATTGTAGCCCATGTTTTTCCTCTGGAGGAACATGTGGATTTCCCGGAAGGATGGGCGTTCGCTTTCCTGACGGTTCCAGCACTCTCGCATTAGATCATAAATTTCTTTTGGACAGTTTGGAGGTTGTGGCAAATACACCTGCAGGTTATCGTTCCGATAGTAATGTCCAGCATTTTCAATAACTTGCTCGTCAGTCAGTACATCGAATGGTTGATCCTTGGCAAACGTAAGGACTTCCCATAGCGTCACAGCAAAGGACCACACATCGCTCTTTGAAGTAAACTTCCCCTGTGATAGAAATTAATCCAGTGTCAACAGTCAGAAGTGTTATAATGTAAACAAAAACAGAGATTATATTTAGCAAAAGGACATTTTCATAATCTCATCAACCTACTGGCAAACAAGGATAAGTTGAGCACTGACCTGGCAATTGACCCTTTTTAGCATGTATGAGTGCCGCCCACTGGCGCTTGCCATTGTGAGCGAAGGGCCCCACGTTGTCCGCGATCAAGTGTAGTGCTACACTGACCACGTGAGTCTTATGAGCAATGCGTGTGCAGCTATGCGCGGACTCAATTTCATCGTCATGCACTGCACATGCACTAGCCTACATCTGCTCTACCTTTCACAAACCAAATGGGTTTGTTAATTGCCGTGTACCGCCTACTTCTTGTAAACGCGTTCTCTGTGCCGGTCCAACTTATCCTTGTTTGCCAGTAAGATAGAACGTTTTTCTTTCTTAAGTTGGAATATTCTTTATCATGAACATAATTGACATCTTGGATGACAATCAATGTCCATGAAAATTAAGTGAAACGAATAGTGATTTTATTTGGCAATAGGACATTTTCATGATCTTACCAGCTTAAGATAGAACATTTCTCTATCATGACCAGATTAAGTAAGTGAATAACTACCGTATGTCATAGTGTCCAAGTCTAATCACAAAGATCAGTTTTTGGAGTGAGTGAGTATTGATATTGCAAAGTCTAAAAAGCCTGGATATGAGGCCTTAGCACTGCCTGTTTAAAAGGCATGGATCAAATTTACCCTTGAATAGAAACTGCCAATATTTTGATGTTTTTCCCCATCAGTAAGAATTTCTATTTCTAAGAGTTTCTGGTATGTTCTATCCCAGTGCACAATAAGATGTCTTATACCGAGACATACAGCTATGTGCCTTACCAACAAGATGCTTTCCCAAGCCATCCAGCGTATGGGCAGAACAGCCCTGCCCTCAATCCTGTAATAGTCCGCACTGTACAGAGATCTGCTCATGCCAAAGTCAGAGATTTTTATTGTGTAGTTAGTCCCAACAAGGCAGTTTCTGGTTGCCAGGTCTCGATGCACCATGTTCAGAGACTCCAGGTACTTCATACCAGACGCGATTTGAGATGAAATGAAGATCAAGCAGCCATAACTGAAAAATATCAGAAAACTCGGTTAAAGCTTTGTAGAATGAGTGAGTGAGTGAGTTTGGTTTTATGCCTCTTTTAGCAATATTCCAGCAACATCACGGCGGGGGACACCAGAAATGGGCTTCACACAATGTACCCATGTGGGGATTCGAACCCGGGTCTTCGGCGTGACGAGCCAACGCTTTAACCACTAGGCTACCCCACCGCCCCCTTTGTAGAATGAAGAGACAACACAAGGGAACACTGTTCTAGTCTTGAGCACCTTGTTTGGTGACATAATCGAACTGTTTAGTCATGAGATATACTGTTTAATGTCTCATAACAATAATACTCAAACAAGTAACTATTGCTAACCATAGGGGGATCCAGAGGGGAGGTGCAGGGGTGCAAACCCCCTTCCTCTTTCTTAAAAAGCTGTATCAGCCCCTGCTAACATTTCGTTTTGACTATGCTTGCATTCCTTCTTACTTTCTTGTGTGTGAGTAAAGAAAGGGATTTACTCAATTTCAGCTTATATAAGACCAATTCATTACATGCCTGAACAGTGAAACTAGTTTATTATGAACATGCATATATCAAACATTTTAGGGGAGTCTCTGCCACTTGTTGAATATTGAAGTTGAAAAGCATAAAACAAACTGCAAGTACCAAAAAAAAAATTAGTGATCCCTTTGTGTTCATTACAACCATAGTTTACTGTATCGAGTTTTGCCAGTGCTCTCACGTCTGCCATCAGCACGTGGTTGTGAAAACCAATTTTGGTGCCGGAGACAAAGTAAACATACATTGGGCCGCAGCAGGGCTGCTTCATTGCAATGATTGAAACTGGGTGATACAAAAGAAATGGAGACCTCAACATTTCATCCTGACTGGAACACAGACTCGTTACTTCCCTAAGAAACACTTACCTGAGTGTCTTGGCATTGGTTGCCTCGGCAACTGGACTTTCAGGAACATGATCAATAAGGAATTGGTTGAGGTCGCCATATTTCATGTATTCTACAATCATACAGAGTGGTTCTTCTCGTGTACACACACCCAGTACATGCACGATGTTGGGATCCTTCAGCTGGGACATTATCTTAATCTCTTTGTGGAAGTCAGATCTGCAACAGAAAGGTCGTGTTGGGATGGTACGGAAGCAGTTGTAGATGTTGTGGATGTGGTTGCGGTAGCTGCAGTAACTGTCTTTGCCAGACATCTGAGACTCAAAATATGGTCTTGGATTTTAGCATCAGTTTCAGCAGAATTTAGTGTTAAAGACTAGACAGAAGTTTACTGGACTTGGGTTTTTGGATGGTTTGCTAAAAACACCAACTGCAATAGAGCTGAATATAACCATGGTTTCAGACTAAACTCACCAAATTCATGAATTACTGCTGTTGTAATAATTGTTGCTTTGATTAACTGAGCATTTATGTTAACTGACAGTTTAACATTATAATTCTTGGGAATTTATATACAATCCGTCCATTATCTTTTTTAAACCGTGTTGTGAAGTTTATATACAGTTGTTGAGGGCAAAACAGTTGTAGGGCAACATATTGCAAAACTGGTATCTTTGTTTGGATATATTTTGAAGTATCCCAATTTCTACATATTTCTCAACATGGTCACTTGCTGCCATCTTGTAGCCATGGATACAAGGGAGATAACACTAGAGAAAAATCACAAAATATTGACCGTTTTGTTAATCAATTTCAAAAGGAAACTTCATTTGTTAACACATTACTGGGTAGGTTTTAAGTCAAATGATGCAAAAAGTATGAAACATATCATATCTATTTTACTCAACACAACAAAACAAAGAATTGTTTTGCTCAATGTTTTACAGTGTACTGGTCATACCCACCTAGCTCTGTCGTCAGCGTTCGGCCTGAGCATCTTCACTGCCACCAGCATGGAGCGGGGATTGTTCCTGCTCATGGTGTAGTCATCACCAAGGATGTCGTTGATACGTAAAGCCTCACATAAATGAACCTGAAGCCATAGCCAAGAACAGTGTTAAGTTTCTTTGAATTCTTACAACAGTTTTGCTCAATTCTCAAATGGTAATGTCAACTTTTTACAAATAATTCTTCAATTTCTGTACTTATTACTTTGAGAGTGAGTGAAATATTGAGAATTGGCTCCATCAGAAACAGTCCACTTTAACATGGATGCCTATAGGAAATGAAACACACAGTATGAGCACTAATTCACACTTATATCCACACTAATACCCACAGCCTTGAAGGTTGGTCTGCCCAATAAAAATGTCTATGGTCAAATATTAGTCTCACAGTCCCTGAACCTCACTATTTTCCCTACTGCCTAGCACTCCATTCAATAGTAAAGCCCTAAATGAGTAAGTGAGTGAGTTGAGTTTTACGCTGCTTTGAGCAATGCAGCAATATCAGGGCAGGGGACACCAGAAATGGGCTTCACACTTTGTACCCATGTGGGGAATCGAACCCGAGTCTTCTGCGTGAAAAGCAAACGCTTGAACCTCTAGGCTACCCCTAAATGAAGCAAGTGTAAATTTCCTCAGGTTCAGGCTGAATTTCCCATTTCACTGGGGCTCCTTTTCAATTAAAATAAGATTATTTGTTACTGTGAAAATTATTTTCAGAGGCAAAGTGTTAGTCTAGTCAACAAGGCTGTGTTCCTCAATGAGGTCATAGGGCTTTAACTTTAAAAAGTCATACCTTACAACTGATGTTCAGCGGAATGAGCCCTGGTGACACACACAGGGTACTTGGAACTTATTTTACTTTGAATCTCTAGAAGTATCAACAGTATTAAGTATTTTTGTGACTAGTTAGCTTTAATTTTCACTCCATCCATTGAACAAATTTTTTCATTTACCTCACCAAACTGCCCTTCCCCTAGCACCTCCACAAAGCGGAGATTTTCTCGGGGGAATTCCATCACAGAGTAGTCAATGCTTAAGAGAAGGTCAGCATTTGGTACTGCGTAGACGTTGTTTCCACTGACTCCTTGTAAACTTGGAATGTTGGGCCCGTGGACATTGACGATATCTGCAGCAGCATACAGTGCATCGTAGTTGGGAGGTTTGTCCAGACTGCCGTTCATGGCAGGAAGTAACATCGGAGGTCGTGGAGGTCGTGGCGGCAGATTGACGACCAGCGCAGACTTGGTGATGTCTGGCACCGCATAGTCTCTAGAATCTGTAATACAATGGTCTGGTCTCATGATCAACTGATCTTACTACCGGTTCCCAAGACATAGAAATAAATATGTAATTATGCCATTGTAAGATTGAACAACAATTGACCATTCCTGTGTTCTAGTTTAGGTTTAGGCGCCGCCTTCTGTGGGTTATATACAGTTATAACATAGGGATTGAGATTTAATTTGGATATATCCCAAATCTGAGTACAAAACACAGTTTTAACATTTCATGGAAATGATATCTAAAAATTGGGTTTGAAAAGTCTAGTCAGAAGGGAGTTATTTTAGTTTTGGACAGTACATAAAATCAGTTCATTGGTTTGTTTCATGTTTAACACCACCCACAGCAATATTCCAGCTATATGACCGTGGTCTGTAAATAATCAAATCTGGACGGACAATCCAGTGGTCGACATCATGAGCATATATTTATGCAAATGGGATACAGTGACATGAAATAACCTATGATTAAGTGATGTTGTTGAAGCTCCTGCTTCTACGTGTTCTTACATAATTATACAAACACAAATATGCTTTAGAACATGTACATAAGATGGCAAATTAGTATCACAGAACAAGCCACATATTTAGCAGACATCAAAAACTGATGCATATCATAATTAAAATGATAAATAATAATAATGGCTGTTGTTATTAACTACTGTAAGGTCAAGGTTATTATGTACTTTAGGATACTAATGAAACGTTTGTTACACAGGGCAGGAGTGGGAATGGATCTCAATTGTTTTTTTAATAGGTTAACTTGGGGGCAGTGTTCAGAGACTAATTTTATTGGACATCAAACAGTATAGACAAGTTCTGTGTGTTTAATTAGATAAGGATATATGTTGCAAACTACCTTTGTGAATAGTGAGTGAGTGAGTTTAGTTTTACTCTGATTTTAGCAATATTCCAGCAATATCACAGCAGGGGACACCAGAAATGGGCTTCACACATTTCACCCATGTGGGGAATTGAACCCAGGTCTTTAACAAGATTAGCGAAAGCTAAAACTCTTGATCTCTTCCCTGTAAAGTGTAATAAAGTATAATTTTGTCCTGAGATAATATTGTCCAAGCAGAAGGACTCTTGTTACCTGTGTTAAGTTTTATTACGGGGGAGGTGATTGGAAGGGCATGACATCAGCCCCTTATAACAAACTCAAAAAGTGTACTCTTATCACAAGATGAATCAGCTACTGAACTTTTAGAATAATAGAGAATAATCTCTACATGAGGTAAGGTAAGGTCCCATAATACATTAGCCATCATTAATATCATGATGAAATCCCATTTAAAAGATGAAATGAATTTGATTAATCTAGGAATGAAGTTACAGTCCAATGGCAAAACTGAACAAGCCTAACTGTTACAAGCAACTGAGTCTACAATGTTTAACTTGCAGCTGAATTTGTGACTTTGTAGCCTAGGATTTCTGAGATATAATACAGATTTGGAAAGAATTGATAGGTCACATGACAGAAGTGTCTCTTTTTTGCCAGACTGGTCACATGACAAACATTGGGTACCAAAAGCTACGGTGAGAAAGATAGAACCAATGAAATGGCATCTACAAAGCAGGAAATTCAGCACTGTCTAGGTAGCAAATGATGAACACGATGTTAGACATGAGAAAATATTAGCTGACCAGCGTGAAGTGTTGTGTGGCCAAACTGAGGGAAACTAAAAATCTAGGGTGATCACAAAAGATGAAAAATTAGATCTGTGTCTAGTGCATCCCCTTTGTGGCCAGGGCTCGCATGTTGGTAAACTTACATCAACACCTGGATTGATTCCCGTCGTTCTTGCAATTACAAATTACCCACCCTAGATATTCCTTAACATTTTACCAATCAACATAAAGAGTGAGTGCGTTAGTGAGTTGGTGAGTTTAGTTTTATGCCGCTTTTAGCAATATTCCAGCAATATCACGGCAGGGAACACCAGAAATGGGCTTCATGCATTGTACCCATGTGGGGTATGGAACCCAGGTCTTCAGCGTGATGAGCAAACACTTAAACCATTAGGCTACCCCCCCGTGCCAGATAGTAGGGAAATGGGCTTCACATCAACATAAAGAAATAGGTAAGGGAGCTAACTCGTGTTGTCAAGATAACCAAGCCACTTGTAATGGACATGAAGACTATAAACAATATATTTTAGGGTTTTCTTCTGTATAACAGTCAAATTTTCGATCTTGAATTGCTCGCAAACTTAATCTTAATCAGTGGGACTGGTCGCCGGATTGTTGACATTGCTGAGCCCACATTTAAGGCTGGTTTCTTATGGATTCATGGGACTGAGCAAGGTAGCCAAACAAAAAGGTTAATGGAAATCAAGGGCAGGTAATTGGAATCCAAGAAAACCATAGAAATGGATCCAGGTGTGAGTGTGGGTTTACCAAAACGCAAGCTCTGGAGATATAGAGGATGTGTTTTATCATGCAAGTCACACAAAATTCTAATAGTTTGGAAAATCTAGATTAAATTAAATAAAAGGGTTACACCTGCAATGATTGTGATTAGGATTGGAAAGGCAAAACATTCAAATATCTCTTGAGATAATGTCGTCAAATACATCTATTTTGAAGCTGTTTCAATATTCTTCAGATGACTATGCAAATTTATAAAATGATTTTGTCATGCTGAAGTACAAATCACAAAAGAAGCAGCAGCTTAATGACACAAGATGAAGCGAGAAATACATTTGAAAACACGACACAACACTTCAGACAGGTCACATGACATCACAATCTACTGTCACTCCTCGTACAGTGAAAACATCTCGGTCTACGTTACGTTTCACACAACCAAAGTGCATGGTGAAATCGGTGCAATAAGAAACACTTCTGTCATTGCGAAATACATTTAACAAGAGTTAGAAGTCAGCGTAGTCCACAATTTCAAATTATCATGCTTGATCGAAATTTGGCTACAAACCACCAGATTCAGGACTCGCGGGAAGCTCAGGGAGTTCTCTCCCCTGAATCGTGTCTTTGGGTTCCAGGTAGACCGGCTTGCCCAGTTTGTCAGCGGCATTATAAGTCTCTCGATCCGATTCACCCTCTTCTGTTGCCACGCTGTTGTACATATTACCATTTGAAATTTTACCGTTTGTGGATCCACGCAAGTCGTTCAGGTTTATTGTGACATGGCGATCCACCACTGGTTTGAGGTTGCGACGGTTATTGTTGTGCTTGCGACGTTTGTGCCGAATGATGAAAATAGCGATGATTATGATAAGAATGACAATCAGTGCAGCGAGAGCACCAATGATAACACCGATATATCCATCATCGAATTCTGCAGTTTCTCCCTTTTTAGTAATAGTATCTGTGCTCTGCGATGCTGGGCCTGGAAAGGAAACAGAGTTCACATGAAAATTATTGAACAAAACACAAAAATAATAAATTAATACAACTATGATGTTTTTGTCTGTTCTTAAAGCCACAGACGGCAATATTCCAACTCTATGGAGTTGTCCCCCTTAGGTCTATAATATTCATACATATTTAGAAAATATGATAACATCTGAGGCTGCCAGTCTTGAACTGAGAAAGAACAGTAAACATCATGTAAAACTTGAATAAAAGGCGACTGTAGGAGTTGCCTCCCTTTGACCATTTCTGCATGCTTATCTACAGTCTTCTGTATCTGTAGAATCATGACTTATACAGAGGAAGAACTACTCACGATCTCCATATTCCACTTTGGGAGTGTTGGAGCCTTCATTGTCGATGCTAAAACCATATCTCGCCCATTTTGATTATTCTGGAGAGTGGTTGATATAGTAGACGGAGCAAGAGTGGTGGGCGGAGCAGTCTCTGGGGTGAAGTTACCCGTGACTATTTCTGAAAACAAAACAAACCTTCCCATTAGTACTTGCTTCTTATCTGAGCAGTTACTGCTTGGTGTCTGAGTCAATGTTTTTCCATGTTCATATTTGATTCAACACACTCACAGTCCTCCTCGATTCAAGAAAATCGTGAAACTTGGCATCCTTGTTTTAAAGTCAGCATTTTGATTGTAAGTCTTAGTCCAGTGATTCCAACTGCATAAATTTTTAACTCATATTTATCCATAAAATATGCAAAATGAGTGAAATCATAATTTAATCAACATACATTCTTAATTCAAAAGTGAAACTATTCCAAATTGATGTACAATCATAGAATGCTTACCTGACTCAAAGCTAACTTCGCTTATCATGATCCAACGTGCTTCAAAATATAGCTCCATCTTGATGTACTTTGCCACTTTGTTTTCAAGTCGAATCATCACCTGACGAGCGTCTTCAAAATAGTCATCACGCACAAAGTTATATCTGACCGGAGGCCCTGGGTAATATTTTCCTCCTATACTGAAATGGACGATAGCTTTCCGGAACACCCGGACTTCCTTGCTGTACAGGTTGTTGCAATGGATCATAATTTTGGAAAAGTTCCGCACATGTTCAAACTTGAAAACAATGGTGATCGGTTTCATTGAAGCCGAGTCATTTTTCCATCCGACCCATTCAAATCCTTTAACACCGAGGCCCTTCTTGTCCGATCTGAAGTTAGTGTGACCTTCATCTCCATCAGTCAGCTGACCGAGCCCATCCTTGAGGTATTTATTCTTGATAATTCCATCGTAGGTAAAGTCATACAAATCAACTTCTGAACCCCGTCGATCTCCTTGCGGCATCGAGTAGGACACCAAACCATCTGAAAGCAAATGATTAATATTAAAACAATATCAACTTGGGACTCTCTTTAAAACGTTACTCACGTCAGGATTTAAAATTGCAATTGTTTACTATTACAGTCAATGAAAGAAAGGACAGGGGGAACATACTCTTCTGACAGTATCCACTGAACAGTTGGGGAGGTTTTCGTGTTATCATCCATCAGTTTATAGAAAAGAATATTCCCCAAGCCCCACAACATAATATCTACAGTAGCACTCACTCATTCCAATGTCTGCCATAGTTCTGATATGGTTATTTTATGTTATTCAAAGAGTGAGTGAGTGAGTGAGTTGGGTTTTACGCCGCACTCAGCAATATTCCAGCTCTATGGCAGCATATTAAAAAAGAGTTGCTAATGAGTGAGTGAGTGAATTCGGTTTTACGCCTCTTTTAGCAATATTTCAGCAATATTCCAGCAATATCACGCAGGAGACACCAGAAATGCACATCACACACAGTACCCATGTGGGGAATCAAACCGACATGAACGCTTTACCCACAATGCTACCCCTCCCAGTTGCTAATGAGGAAAGCTGAAGTGTGTGTGTGTGTGTGTGTGTGTGTGTGTGTGTGAGAGAGAGAGAGAGAGAGAGAGAGAGAGAGAGAGAGAGAGTGTGTGTGTGTGTGTGTAGAGAGATGTGTGTGTGTTTTGTACACATGCAACATGCATGCACATGTGTGTGCAGCACTGATACCCTACTCAGACATTGTATACTGACTCAAGCCAACCAGTCCTTGTTTTATACTCTTTTTGTCAAACCCCAGATAACACTAACATCTTTCAACATCAATAATGTCCCCGAGGACCGAACAACTGACCATGCCATGCTGCCGCTAGCTCTGACCGCTATACCACGGAAACAAAGATTGCTTTTGCAGTCTTCAGTTGGAAGTAACTGTAAGAGGTAAAACACTCTTCCTACATCGATGCAGTGTCCCTATGTCATCACAAACTGGGCCATGTATCCGTGAAACTACCCAAAGCAGTAAACAAATGTGTATTTCATTATTTGTATGAGTTTCTTGTGTTGTGAGAATTCTCCCAGCAGATGGAATCTTCACAACAGATCTGTCAGAAAGCCCTGGTGGCAGTTTTTGTCCCACACGAGTCGGCAAACCTTCATACACAACCATAAATTTGCTTTAAATAATGCTAGTATCTCCAACAGACATGCAGAGTGCCTCACGCACAATCATCTTGGTGTGGTCTCTCCTGATACAAGCATTTTCTGCTCCACTTAATCTGGATAGTGCCACGACTTGTTTTTGCAGGATTTCTACTTTTTGCTAATTTGTTAATCACTGTTTATTTTCCATCTTTCCTTAACTTTATCCATGCATTTTTCACCCTTTTGTGGAAATTAGCCGCGGAACAGATGTTTTTCTCGCAGACCCCCACCAAAATATGTCAATTTCTACATAATAGTAGCCACATGACCTGGGAAGTTCCACGTGGTGGAAACAATTCTTGCTAGAGGTCATATGTGAGTTGAAATTAATGGCAATGTCTGAAGTTTTGCTCATTGCAATTTGGCAAAAATAAGTCGTCAAGATACCGTTGGAAACTGCGTAATGTCCTGTGCGAGGCACTGATCCAACAGAACGTCTCCATATTGTGATGTGTTGCACATACTTCTGTCAGTATTATTTTAAACACACCGATTGCAGCAGCTGCATGTGGAACAGGTAAACTGAAACCGATGGTGCAGATGTGTAGCAGACGTAGCCTTCCAGCGTTCAAATTTCACCGATTCTCATTCTACTGTCAAGGCTTTGCTGACAGATGCAGGACGACTTGGGACGATTACCAAAAAATACACCAAAGGCAGGTTTCATACCAGTTTCAACAATCTTAAATTTCTCAGTGTAGAAACTTCGGTTTGACATGGAAACACTTCCAGATGCAGCCAACACTACTTTTGTGACACCAGAACTTCCAGGAGGAGGAGAAGAAATAGTAATAGGATTCAAGACAATTTCAACAGAATGACAGGAAAAGAATGTCTTCAATTTCACTTCATCTACCATGAATGTTTTTGTGCACAGGATATGGTTACCCAAGCAGTTTTTCTATCAAATTTGCAAAGTATTTGAACACAAGTAATTTTCACTTCAGTAAGTTATAAAAAGAAGAGTTTAATTAAACTGTAATTACTTTTAATTTAGACAAATACACATTGATATGCAGTTAAGAAATATGAAAACTCTTGAATGCAAAAAAGAAAATGGATCTATCAAATGCATTTCCTTGTTATATAGTTTGTTGTTTAATGCTGCATTTAACAATAAATATCTCTTGCAATACCGAAGTAAGTATTAGCTTCTATCTGGCCCATGTTCTTGTCCATCATCATCATCATCATCATCATCATCATCATCATCATCATCATCATCATCATCATCATCACCACCGACCCGTGAAGATCCGGGGTAGAATAGGTCTTCAGCAACCCATGTGCTTGCCTTAAAAGCGACTATCTTGTCATAAGAGGCGACTAACGGGATCGGGGGGTCAGTTTCGCTGACTTGGTTGACACATGTCATCGGTTCCCAATTGCGTAGATCGATGCTCGTAATGTTGATCACTGGATTGTCTGGTCCAGACTCGATTATTTACAGACCGCCGCCATATAGCTGGAATATTGCTGAGTGCGGTGTAAAACTCAACTCACTCATCATCATCATCATCATCATCATCATCATCATCATCATCATCATCATCATCATCATCACCACCACCACCACCACCACCACCACCACCATCATCATCATCATCATCATCATCATCATCATCATCATCACCACCACCACCACCATCATCATCATCATAAGACATGACCGCACCATAAACTAGATCCCCCATCCCACTGGTCTTTTTCACCTGTCTTGAGATGAAACTCCTCCCTTTCCTGACATTTCACTTCTAAACTAACCCCCAAACAGATATTGGTCACTACTGTGTAAAAGACACACAGACAAGCCAGACAAGATGGCCACCACCTGCAAGGTAGAATCTGTTAGCGCCATCTGTGGGGCAGCTATCGGCCACCTGAAGAACTATTTCATATAAACAGTCATCGAGACTGGAACCCCTGTCTTCTCCACTGTCTGTCAAAATATCCTCCGCAAAGAAACGCTACATCTTAGAATTTGAGATGATACAAAATTAGCTATTCAACAGATGAAGCATTGGGTGGGGTGTGTCCGCTCTGGCGCCAAAAGAACATACTCCGCGGATGAACAGACAGCTGCAGGGTTACAAAACAAACAGCGAGAAAATAGGATGTATTAATGTGGTCTGAGAGGTGAGTGGTGGCTGGAAGTCCACAGAGATGTGTTGATTCCGTCATGATATGATAAACTGACACATCCTCATCCAGTCCATCTCGGCATGATCAGACAGTCATGTCTAAACTATATCCCCACAAAACACAGAGTTTGGTTGATGGCCCAGTTGGTGTTTGGGGGTCTGTTGTAGTGTTAGGTAAACTCACTGGTGGCTTGTAGCCAACACATGGTTCAACACCTTCCTTGCTTTCACCAACATTTCAGCCATATCAACCTAGATTACACTGCAAAATGGGCTTCAAATATTGCAATCACATGGGACTAGAACCTGGACCTACAGCTGATGAGCAAGTACCTGAACCACTAGGCTACCCCGAAGACCTCTCCACATGAAAATCTCACAACAAGTACCTTGTTCCATATGACTCCAACATAAGTTCAGACATATATTTACCTGTATATAATATTTCAACTTTGTTATGAATATTGGAATTTTAAAAATATAATTTCAATCTCATTTGCTTCTATATAGTATGGTAATAGAGACAGTGGGTTTTTAGGAATTCTTCAACAATCCTAAAGCCTTGTTGTTCGTACTGAAGTGGTGCAGAATATCCGGGGAGAGTGTTTGGGGAATTTCTCTCTCAACATGTGAACCTCGATTCCTGTGTTTATGAACATTCTGCCAGTATTTTGCTACCAGTAAGACTTGAAATACCAGCCATACCAGCCAAAAGACGATCTTTATCAATGAAAACAGGCCTTCAGTTTCACAGCATGAACCCAACAAGTGGAATCACTAGTCTTGCTTGCCACAGAAACAGAACTAGGCTGACATTAAGTCCCAGAAATAAAGTTAACTTTTTAAAATATATAAACTTAACAATGTTAATTAAAGTTATACTTGCTATATCATCCAAGACTTGAGATGGATTCATTTAATAACAAGGATGAAGCTGTAGCCTAGTGGTCAAAGCATTTGCTCATCATGCACAAGACCTGGGTTTGATTCCCCACATGGGTACAATGTAGTGCAGCAGATATTTTGCATCCCCAACTGTGATATTGCTGGAATATTTCTAAAGTGGCAGAAAACAGTGCTCACTCATTCGCTCTGGGTTAGCACACTGTCTATGACGTGCCCATCTTGTGGCCATCTTGTTATCTGTTATCAATGTTATCTGACATTTACTGCCCACGTTATGTATCTGTAACTATGGAATACGTCTTTGTGTTGTTTAGCCTGGTGTATAATAGCTTTTAATCAACTCTAACATACAGTTTAAAGGTTCTGGTGCTTCATATTATTTACTTCTTCAAGCTTTACATGAGGTTGAACAACAAACACTCAGTCAATGAAAAACACCTGGGCTTTCTGTTTACAGAAACATAGGTGTAAAACATTTGCAAAGAATTTCTGTTGAAACTAGGCCTTGTGTAGATAGCATCGGTCTCTTTGACAGACCCAGAATCTGGTTACGCAGTTCAAGAAAATGGCGCTTCTGTCATGTCTCACAAACTTCCTTGATATGCTTTGTAACATTCACAGGGAATTAAAGCCAGGTTCGTTGAACGTCTTATTTGAGGAAGTTGTAACAAAAGATGCGGTTGATACAATGTTACACAATATCTGTGCCCCCGAAGTTTCATCATACATATGGTCGCGGTTGTTGGTTTGGTTTGGTTTTATGCCACACTCAGCACATTACAGTTATGCAAAATACACAAAACAGTGGCTGAATGAGTGAGTGAGTATGATTTCACGCGTTTAGCAAGCAATATTCAAGTAATTTCATGGTGGGGGACACCAGAAATGGGCTTCACACAATGTAACCTTGTGGGGATTTGGACCCAGATTTTTGGCGTGATGAGCGAATGCTTTAACCACTAGGATACCCCACCTACCCTTACCAGTGGTTGACATCATGAGCACCAATCCATGCAAATGAGATGTGATAATATGCAAAGTAAGCAAACCTGATATCACACAATCAGGATTGTTGCCTCGTATACAAGCATGGGCTACTGAAGAACAATTCTTAAACAGTTTTTCACAGTGTTTGGTCTTCTATGATTAAAGTGGACATTAAAACTGATGTATTAACCTTGAGAAATAAATCTACATCAGTAGCCTTTGTCTGGCAGTATACTAGATTTATACCTCTGAACATTAATGTCATGGATGCTGATGTCATTGAACCCAGACATCAGATATTCCGTTTGATGTCATCTAAGCTTCACAAATAACAGAAAGGGAGTTCTTGAAGTACTCCGATGATAGAAGAAACCTTTTTATCCCTCAGCAGGGCATAGAATAAAGATGATATGATATCCATTATCAAAATTCTCAAATGAGTGACATACAGGGAGTAGGCGAGATTTGTAAAGACACTGGGAGACAGGAAACTATTTCCAAATCCAGCTTTTGACAGATGACATGTTTGTTTAACAGAAGAAGCCGTACAATCTCCAGACCTGTCAACAACAGAAACAGGACCTCCACATACATATTTTTTTTAAACTGTAAGAATCGGCTGAAAAATTTATAAATTTGCATGCATTCATAGAATAATTCCTTCTGTGTAATTGCGTAGATCAATGCTCATGCTGTTGATAACTAGATTGTCCGGTACAGACTCAATTATTTACAGACAGCCATATAGCAGGAATATTGCTGAGTGCGGCATAAAACTAAAGTCACTCACTCACTCAGCTTTGTTCTTTGTCTCCTGTTACTAGGAAAATGTTGTATGGAAACCTTACCATCCCAAGTGCATCCGTAGAGCTCCACTCTCATACACACTGTCCGAGGATGCTGACTGTAGGGGATAAACCTCACACGCTTTGCTATAATAGGCGGCTGAACGTTCTGTAGGACAGCATGGTAGGTGTTATCATTGCCTTCGAATATCTGGAACAAAAATGAGTCCATATGAACACTCAATGTACACACACAAAGACTTACACAATGGATACAAGATATTTTATTGCGCAAACGTTCCATGTAGAAACAGTGACAATATATCGAAATATATATAAAAAGTCATGATCAAGAAAATATTTTTCTTTATCATCACATAAATCAAAAGTATATTTCAAAACATCTTGTGCCCATTGTCATATGTGATGCTAATATTTTTTCAAAGAAATTCATAAATCAAGACCACATTTCCAAAACTTTTGTGCCTATTATCACACGTGATGCTAACCATTTCTAAAACATATTCATAAATCAAGAACATTTTTCTTAAAACTTTTGTGCCTAATATCACACGTGATGTTAATCTTTTTTCAAACAAATACATAAATCAAGAGTACATTTTCAAACATTTTGGGGACCTTATAGTTTTTTGTTCTATGTACAATCTTTTTCATCTTCATCCTTGAGAGAAAGGTTTTGCAAAGGGTTGTAACAGTGTTTTTTTCATTGCCAGAATAAGACACAAAAGCTGAGAAAACACCACTGCCATTTCAGCTGTTACGTGTGACACTTGTGACAGACTGGGATAAGGTCACTCCATGTAGAGAAGTATCACGTTAAAAAAGTAAACAAGGTACACAACCAGCAAATAGTGCATTATGGGAGTGTGGGGATTTGTATAAACAAAGTAATGGCAGGTGATGGGGTACTATTGTTGTCTTTGACACATCGACATGGACACATGTTGAAAACTTGGTGTTTGGTTGGAACCAAGGAGCCACTTGGGCAGACGTGAATCTAAGGTTTACAGAAAGTGAAAGGTGGGATTGAAATGGGGATACGTAGCCAATAAGACGCATCTCAAAGAGTGCTCGGAACCTGTAGATCTACATGTCTCTCAGGAACCCAGTATACAACACAAGCAGTGTAGGAATAACATGATCCATGTAATGAATATGAAATCTTTTCGATCAGGCAGAATCAATCACATGGTCCCAAAATACATGATTTTATTACACTAAGAAATAAAATTATCCTTCTCAAAATATGATCCATCACCAAACTTGAGGTTATAGTCTTGAATTTACATAAAATGTTGTACTGTTCTTTGGTTAGATGGTGGGGTGGCCTTGGTATGATTATAGCATTTTTTCTCAAGCTGACATCCAGGGTTCAATTCCCAATATAGGTAAGATCTGTAAAATCCATTTCTGGTGTCCCTTTGCCATCACATTGCTGGAATATTGCTAAAAACAGCACAAAACCATACCCACTTACCCACAAGGACTCTACGGCTAAATACCAAGGTGTGTTAATCAAAATATTTCTTGCCATCATGTTTCTGTGGAAAACCTGAGCTAAACCTCTTGGGTTCACTAGGTAAGAACTCTTTCTCTCTGAACCAGATCTTCAAAGCCCTTTCTAAGCTACCGTGCTTAAAACAGGATTTTAACCACGAGGGAGGTATAACCAGAAAGTGGGAAGGTATCGCATCATTACCAACAATTTCTCCAGCCAAGTCTGTATATCTAACAAAGTTATAATGAAACTTGCAGATGATCTCCCCATACATAGAGATGCTACCAGGAGCAGACACCAACTTCAAACTCCATCAATGTTCATATTTGCTGTAATTATGCTGTTCATATTGTAACTTCCAACATTCCTATTGGTTATACAGTACATCTTCTTATTCTATTTGGTAGCATGAATAAATTGTCTTCCCATACAAAGAGAGGCTGCCATGGGAGCAGACGCCAACTATAAACTCCATCCATGTTCATATTGACTGTAATTAGGCTGTTCATATTGTAACTTCCAACATTCCTATTGTAGGGTTACACAGTACATCTTATTCTACTTGGTAGGACATATAAATGATCTCCCCCATACATAGAAAGGCTACCATGTGAGCAGACGCCAAATTCAAATCCGTTCCATGTTCACATTTTTCTGTTCTTATTGTAACTTCCAACATTGCTATTGTAGGGTTACACAGTACATCTTATTCTACTTGGTAGGATGAATAAACAGAAGCTCAGTCAATCCAACATACCACTGACTGAACTCGTGTCTGTTCTTGCTGCCAGAGAAGTTGAGAAACTATGGGCAGGGTGATTTCATGAATCAGTGTAGCCTCCCTACATTCTCCACAGAAATATCAAATTCTTGACTGCTTCTCTCAGAGGGACCAAGCTTCAAGTTACCAAATAGAACAAACATGGCTCTTTTAGACATGTTTTGACAGTCTTATAAACTTGCAATTAGTTGAGCTGTGAAATTCAATCATCAGTCTGATAAAAACTGTCCGTGTCTTATCGAAATTGCAAGATTTAGACACACAACCCGAAACCTCCTTGATCTTACACTGAAAAGCCAGTCCTGTAATTATAAATGATAAGAGCTAGTGGCTGTGTTTCTTCTGTCCTTATTATTTTGGTACAATTCACATTTGAAAGAATATTTTTTCCATCATGTCATGTAAATTTGTTGGTTATATAAGCCAGTGCAGCAGCAAATATCTCTGTTAAAACACTGTACAGAAGAATCTGAACACCTCTCATACACTACACCATTTGCCTACCTCTGACACACAACACATTCACATCCTCCATTCAACATCTTCACATCCTCCATTCAACAGATTCACATCCTCCATTCAACATCCTCCATTCAACAGCTCCACATCCTCCATTCAACATCTCCACATCCTGCATTCAACATCTTCACATCCTCCATTCAACATCTTCACATCCTCCATTCAACAGCTTCACATCCTCCATTCAACAGCTCCACATCCTCCATTCAACAGCTTCACATCCTGCATTCAACAGCTTCACATCCTCCATTCAACAGCTCCACATCCCCCATTCAACATCTCCACATCCTCCATTCAATAGCTTCACATCCCCCATTCAACATCTTCACATCCTCCATTCAACATTTTCATATCCCCCATTCAACATCTTCAACATTATTCTTTATCACAATATCTAACACATTCACTTGTCGTGCCAGAAGCAAGGAACAGTTCTTCCCTTGGTATAATATGTGAAGCAAATTTCTGGCTATGAATACACAATGCTTTTTAGAAAGTGGTCAATGCAACATATATAAGATGTGACATGACAATTTCAAACTCGAACCGACACTCTCTGAGCAAGTCAGTGATCTGTACTTTACTGAGATGTGGAATTCCAAATATAACATATGTCCAATTCTTGTTTTGCCTGTGTTGCGCTCAAGACCCAGGTTCGATACCCCACATGGGTACAATGTGTGAAGCCCATTTCTGGTGTCCCCTGCCATGATATTGCTGGAATATTGCTAAAATCAGCGTAAAACCCTACTCACTCACTATACACCCCACTAATACATCATACTTGCTATGGGCATGATACACCCTCCTTCTGTACACCCAGAATACATCCACATACTCTATATCCATTGCTGATCACACCAGCATAAACAGGTACTATGTTGCACAAGTTTCTTTCATCAACAAAAAAAGAGAGTAAATATCAGCTCCAAGCGCAATGACCCAAGTATATCTCATGCATTTTGGAAACAAATGTCTTTTCCTTTTTGTTGTGGTTATCAGTGGCAAGATGATGTATATTTCCAAACAATCAATGTCTGCTGGTCACAGCAGGCTCTCGAACAGACAATCTCTCAAACCCATAAAGTATTTCTTATCTTGAACAGGAATTATGGATCTCCATAGTAGGGACATTCCGAGATAGTCGCTAAGAAAAGTCTAAACAATGATTTTATTCATCTCCAAGGACCTTAAATACACTGTTTGTACTGGCTATTGGACCTTCATAATCCTCATATCAATGGATGTTTCCAACATCGCCAACGAAAAACCATAACTAGAGATTGTTTTCGACATTTTATCAACCACGAGCGATTGGTAAGCTATAAAACACACATTAATCTGACAGTAATTCCATAGCAGGGCTCACTGGTGATTAATCATGGCCTCATTAAGGTTGAGGACAGCTTGGACAGTCAGTTTGGAACAATCTAGCTTCTGACACCCATACAAGAAGATAATAGAACACCAAGTCAATTCTGTGTCTCAACAAACCAACTGAGATGGTCTACAGGGTGCACCACTACCCACAGATTCTATGGAGCTCTCTGTGACAATATTCGAAGTCCAATCGAACCTCTAATGCTCCATCAACCAATTACAAACTCCGTTGATTTTGGGCGAGTCACCCCATCTGGTAGCAGACGCCATGGGCAGCCATTTTGAAGGACTGCGTATCTTGGAGCAGTGAATTGGCTGTCATTATTCACAAGTTGATGAACAAAGTCAGAACAGAATTTGCCTGTCTTAATTTCCTGCTGCCCTGAACTAATTAAGTTTCCAAGTGTTTTGGAGGTCTCCATGATTCACGCCAACAAAGACATGGCTTCATTTTGAGTTCTAGTCAGGTATTCATCTCCGTCTACAATAAAGCTGCCCCTTCCTCAAGCAGCACTGAATACCAAATAGATGGCATCTCTCTTTTCTGACAGAAACCTGCCTAATTCACCACGCAGACATAATATGCACATACTTGCAACTTTGTCTAAGTATTTCAACAGCAAGGACAAGATACCAAGCATTCCTTCAGACTCCAACAACAAAAGAAAAAGTAAATTTTAACTGTATTCAATCAAGGAAGAAATGTGCTTTCTAAGAAGCATCATTATTAAATTGGGCAGGTACATGTTCCTGTAAAGGGGTGGTGGGGTAGCCTAGTGGTTAAAGCATTAACTCGTCACACTGAAGACCAAGGTTCAATCTTCATTCCAATTGTGTAATCTGTTTTTATTACATCACATTAATTCCACAGGCTGCTTGTACATACAATACATCATATATGATTCCCTGAAAAGATACTACAGGGATAATGCTGAAAGCAGCATAAAACTCCACTCACTCACTCATCCAGACAAGTACGCTGAGGGTAATGATTTATATACTGAAACAATCATTTATTCATCAGTTTTCTCGGAATGTTTCTCTGCCCTTTTGTGCAATGTTGGAAGGGAATGAATCACAAGAGAATGAGTAAGGGTATCTTGCTTCGTCTTCCTAATAACAACTCTGTCAACACAGGACAGTCCTGGCCTCTGGGGAATTTAGGCAGAAGCTCACTCAATCATCATCTAACTGGGCCTTAAACAGGAATCAATCTCATTCCTGCTTCGTTCAGATGGTGTGCCCCTCTCGGGATAAAACAATGTACGGAAACAAGAACCTTAATACCAAATTCCATCTTCTTGAGCTGGCTGAAATTAGGCTGCATTTTTCCATGCAATCAATTAAAATAGAAAAGTTTAAAAGACTACGAATTCAGCCTTCACAACAATACATGCAGATTGCACAGAGAGTAACCACTATCTCCGAAAATGCTTTTTCACCCTCTTCAAGCTTGGAGGAAGAAATAGAAGGTGATCACATTCGCGTTACTAAGGAAGCCATTTCCCTGACATGCCTGCATGAAATAATGGAGAATCAATATAATGTATTTTACAGTTTTCTGTCAGTATGAAGTAATGGTCTGCTTATCATCGCCAGTTGCTAAAAAGTCATCCTTCTACGTCATTCGTCAATTACATCAAATTTTTTCGAAGATGACCTCATAAATACGTTCGCTAGGAACAGGAATTGTTTCACACTGAGAGTATTGTGAATATAAAATTGTGAAGACTATCAGGACACACTGCTGAAGGGTCTGTAAAGAGCAAAATAACTAAATGGACAGAAAACAACAAAAAATTGGTCAAGAAAGACAAAAAAGGAATATCCCTAATATAATTAAGCAAAGGTTGAAAAGTATTGATGCATGACAGGCTTGGTTAAAAGAATATCATGAAATTAAATCATACCTTGTTTCATAAAACATGTACTTCTATAACAATTTAACAAATTCACAAACCATGACGATTTTGATTTAAAACTGTCATCCCCCAAATGAGGATTTTTTTGCCCTGAGATGTCTAAAATTGCTATCCCCCAAATAAGGAATTTTTTCCTGATAAAATCAGGCAAGGGGACAGGAAGACGGAGTAAGATTGAAACGCCATTTTGGTTCCCTTTTATTTGACAGCTTAATTTCCAGATGGGACCGTGAAGAAATGGATGGGCACCTTCAAGTGGTTTAAATCTCCAATATTTCAGTGCCACACAGTTACTCATGCCATGTTATCAAATGTTTATGATAAATGCACATAAATAGCTAAGCACTTCAGAAGACTTGAATAGTTGATTTTTTTAACTTCTAACCATGACAACAAAGATAGAAGTCGAATGAAGTTTTCAAGATGCATTGACTAGTCAAATAATTAAATTTCCTGAAATATATTGACTAATCATATAAATGATAGTTCCAAAGATGTACTGACTAGTCCATAAAAATAGTTCCCAAAGATGTATTGACTAGTATATTCAAATAGTTCCATAGATGTAATGACCAATCTATTCAAATAGTCCCCAAGATGTACTGACTAGTCCATAAAAGTAGTTCCCAGTGAGTATTGACTAGTCTATTCAAATAGTTCCCTATATGTAATGACCAGTCTATTCAAATATTCCCCAAGATGTACTGACTAGTCCATAAAAGTAGTTCCCAGTGAGTATTAACTAGTCTATTCAAATTGTTCCCTTGATGTATTGATGTACTCAGTACATAAACAGACTAAAATAGTTCCTTTGATGTATTGAATAGTCTTTAAAAATAGTTCCCAACATGTATTGAGTAATCTTTAAAAATAGTTCCTTAAATGTATTAATTAGTCTATACAAATAGTCCACAAGGTGTACTGACTAGTCTATTCAAATAATCCCCAAGATGTATTTTTTTAATTATTAAAATAGTTTCCAAGATGTAGTCACATAAAGGATAGTTAACAAGGTGTACTGACAGCAAGTTCCTATATTTAAGAGGTGTTCTCATTGTGAGTCATCTTACAGGATTTAAATAACACCATAAACTACTTATGCCTAAAGTAGTGGTCCTCGCTGCCAACAGCAATAAGTCCTCCAGTCAACTAATATCCCCTCGTCTCAGTTTTACCTCCAACAGGAAACACCTTTTCTCAGCACACAAACAAACTCCTGTTGACCCATATGTCACATACTTGTAGCCAAATTGGTCCATTTATGACAGGTCATATTTATTCAGTATGTGATAAATACTAATGTGTGTTGTGATTGGCTCAGTCTTGGCAGTGCCATGTAGTTGTAGACATTTGATTGGTCAACTGTCACTGGTTTATGAGCAGAGCTTCCCTCCCTGATGAGATCTACATGTGTCATATGATAAGTCAACAACACTAGTTCTGACTGAATAAACAACTCAGCCTAAATCAACAGACTATAACGACTGTTTCATATGCTATGTGTTTTGGGGGTTCAACTAAACATAATTTGATATATTTCTATCAGACAAAATATATTGTATATTTCTCCATCAGGAAATACGAAGGCCAAGGTCACATATGGGAAGTGAATTTCCCCCTCTGACCCTCTCATGTCCCATTACAGTCCCCTACTTGTTCTCTGCATTACAAATGATATTGTCTTTGTGTCAATGCTGATGTTTAATGTACAGGTTAATCGGTCTCCCAGTCCCTGTACCATAATATTTACCCTTCCGCCAAACCATTATTGTAATGTTTTAACTATCAATGAAGCAAGTCAAGATTTTTCACAGGTTTATCAGAATCTGTATCTCCAGTCTTATTGGGGCTCCTTTTCACTTAAAATGTTGCTGCTATTTTCAACAATTTATATATTCCAGTTAGTCTAGCATTGGACCTCTACTCTTGGTTTGCCATCTAAGGTTTTGTCATCAGCAAGAGGTCCTCCTTCTGTCAATGTTGATGTTTAATTGTACTGGCACACATCTCCAAGGATGGTTTGCCATCTAAGGTTTTACCATCAGCAAGAGGTCCTCCTTCTGTCAATGTTGATGTTTAATTGTACTGGCACACATCTCCAAGGATGGTTTGCCATCTAAGGTTTTACCATCAGCAAGAGGTCCTCCTTCTGTCAATGTTGATGTTTAATTGTACTGGCACACATCTCCAAGGATGGTTTTGCCATCTAAGGTTTTACCAGCAAGAGGTCAATGTTGATGTTTAATTGTACACACATCTCCAATGTTGGTTTGCCATCAGCAAGAGGTCCTCCTTCTGTCAAAGTTGATGTTTAATTGTCGGTTGGCCATGTAAGGTTTTATCACCACTAAGATGGTGTCCTAGTGTTCGTTCTAATGTTTAATGTACTCACCTCTACACCTTTCTTGTTTCTGAACCTGAGCCAGCCACCAGTGTCTTCTCTCTGGTATTCCAGAAGGAACAGTTTGGTAAATTCCTGACCCTGAAACAGAGAACAAATACCATGAACAACGGTGCCACTCAAAGAAGGTAACAAATACCATGTTTAACACATACAAAATAAATGTATCATGTCTTGTGTTCTTCAAGTTGGGTTGTCCAATTCCTTATTGTGTTACATATAACATCATGTAATAGTCTGATATGGTTCATTTGGAACTTATTTTCAAAGGATTTGAAGAAACACATATATGTAAAATTATTCATAGGTTATTGGAAAAAAACGACACGTCTGGTGTATATCGCATTTATCACACACTGGTGACCCAAGGCACACAGAGTCTAACAGATTGATGTGGTACATGTCTTATCTAGCTGCATGGATTACCAGCTGTGAAACCCTTGAATACTGACACCATGCATGCATGCTAGCAGATTAGGAAGATTAAAGCAAAGGTGTCAGTAGTAGGCCTTGACAAATACTCTCACAAACAAGACGATCACACAAATGTTATTACAGACAGAGCTATTTATTTTCTTATTTTGTGCTGTGGAAACATTTGAAATAAAATTTAAAAACATAATTTGCTCCAATGAAAACATATTTATTTTTTTATTTTAGGAATGGTGCTGCACAAACTTTTGAATGAAAATATAAAACCTAATTTGCTTCAATTAAAGTATGCTTGTTGTATCAATAATACATATGTATTTTCTTATTTTAAAAATGGTGCCACCCAATCTTTTGAACGAAAAAATATATTTGCTAAATGAAAGTATGCTTGTTACATTAAAACATTTGTGTGTACTTTGTAAGTCATTGTCTGTGTTGTAAGGTTGAGGTTCAAGACAACTGCACTTGTATGGCATCCTGCAGGTATGCGTACCGGTACTCCATTGACCATTTCTGGTGTCTGATACAGATTCCTGACAATTGTAACAATCATATACTCAGCTGGAGTCGGAGACATAAATCTCCAGCTGATACAGCAATTTCGGTACGAAATCTCTCCTGGCAAGTTCTATCTTTGATGTTTTATTTAGGCTACAGGTTATGTCCGTTTTACACATGAAATAAACAGCTGTTGAAAGCATGGCACCACATGTTTTCTGTGAGTGTCACACCTCTGTGATTTCCAGCCTGTTCATCCTATTACTTAATTGGATCCGAATTTACAGCTTTTGATAAGAATAAATATTTCGCCACTTTTTTCCTATCAGTGAAAACCTTTGACAGTTATCTTTCGTGTTTTTCACAGCACATCAACATAGGAAATAGATTTGTTTGCTTTCCAAGATTGGAGCATATTTATACTGTCTATTTGTCTTGGACTTATTTCAAACTGTTTGAAAATGTCATTACATTTCAGAGGAAGGGTAAATTAATTCAATTTATTTTTATAAAAGCCGTAACTATATTTTTGGGGCATAGATAACCTTTGGACTAAGTCATATTAACCACAAAATGATAAGAAAGAGAAACAACATTTCCCATAGATCAATAATAGCCAGGAAAATACATCTCTTGTTTAAATCACACGCTTCAGAACATTTCAATCAAGCGAAGATTGTTGCCAGTCATCCCTTGATCTGGAATACTGCACCAGTCCACCTGGAAGGCATCTACTACCTCAGGTCGTTAACTACCAGCCAGGATTGGCCATGGAGATTTATGATGCTGGTCACCACTAGGTGGAAACAACTATTGTGATAGCGATAGTCTATTGCAACATACTATTGCGATAGCGATATACTATTGCAACCAACTATTGCAATACTATTTTTTTGCAATAGTTCCTTTCTCCTTGAATTGTGTCTCATTTGAAGTCATTTCCCAAGGGAATGTATAGGTTATATGAATAGTTCTTTTAATAACTGACAAGAATCTTGAAACCCAGATCAAGTAAACAGTTGAAACGTAAACTCAATGAAGCTGCAAGTCTGCACTCTAAATCAAAGTGAACGAATCTGGTACTGTATTTTATGCTGCGCATTTATCAACGGAAGTCAATTATTAAACTATCGATAGTCCCACATACTATCGATGCATCAATAGTTTTTCGTTTCTACTATCGATTAATTGCTATTGGAGACTCACCAATTGCAATCCATCGATAGTTCGATGCATTGTTACAGCCTTAGTCACCACCCACTTCACCAATTGGTGGAACCTGCATCTTTTGATACATTAGGAGATGGATGGATGGGCAGATGGATGGAGGGATGGATGGATGGATGGGTGCATGGCTGGATGCATGGCTGATGGCCGGCTGGATGGGTGCATGGATGAATGGATGGGTGCATGGCTGGCTAGCTGAATGGATGGATGGATGTTGGATGGATGGTTGGATGGGTGCATGGCTGGCTGGATGGGTGCATGGATGGATGTTGGATGGATGGATGGTTGGACAGGACAAAGGTTACTTTTACCACTTGTACCAACAAGCACCACCTAGTTTATTACTTAATGAGGGGTGAAGATGTCAACAGCAAAGATAAATAGATGGATGGATGGATGGATGGATGGATGGTTGGTTGAGTGGGTGCATGGATGGATGGGTGGATGGATATATGTAATCTTATTTATACCTCTAGTAATACTAAACACCACTTAGTTCATCTGCTACTGAGACTTCAAGCAGTTAATAGCATGAGACGGGATGGATGGATGGATGGATATAAGTAACATTACTTTCCCCACCAGCACCAGTGGTCGCCACCCCTTCACAACTGTCCAGACCTGCATTGTGGTAAAATATATTATGGAGTGAGTGAGTGAGTTTAGTTTCAAGCTGCACTCGGCAATATTCCAGCTATATGGCGGCGATCTGTCAATAATCAAGTCTGGACCAGACAATCCAGTGATCAACAGCATAAGCATCGATCTGCGCAATTGGGAACCGATGACATCTGTCAACCAAGTCAGCGAGCCTGACCACCTGATCCCATTAGTCGCCTCTTAAGACAAGCATAGTCGACTTTTGTGGCAAGCATGGGTTGCTGAAGACCTATTCTACCCCGGATCTTCACGGGTCAAATATGTTATGGACTGGTGGTAAATACAAAACAAGTTTCTTCCACAACTAGCACCACGAGTAAATATATTCACTCTCCCTCACATTCAGAATAAAAACATCCTTTACATTTTCAGTCTTAGTACTTCAGCACAAAGATACATATTAATTCTGCTACAAAAAGAAGGCATGGCTCTTGTTATCTGTGATATGGGAGGACTAGAACTAGGGATAGCTCTCCACCGAGAAGGGTGACAATTTATGTGAAAAGGTAGCCATTGTGATGTTCATTGCTAGTTAAGTGAGAAACTTGATGTGGATAATTTGTTTCCGTTGATATTCTCGGCAGTAGTTACGTTGCAAGTGTTGATATTGATAACATGAACAGAAAATAAAACTAGATAAAATGCAGTAACTGACAGCTGTAATCTCCTGCGACACACAGCACATGCTTCTTGAAACAGATGTACGAGGAAACATGTGCTGTTCTCCTAATGAGACATCAGCTATGAGAATTCAGGTTTTAAATTCTTTTAACACAAAACACTCATCTTACTGCAAAGTAACATGCATATAATATTAAATTCTGACTTGTATATATATATAGAAAAAAAATATTTTTGGGACTATTATATCCTATACTAAAAGTTAAACAACATGCAATTATTTCAGTAATCTGTATTGTCATATGGAAAATGGGCGTTCTTTAATAATTTTTGAGTAGTATATTCATCTTTTGGGAAAAGATAGGAGAAAAAATTTGACAGGAAAACACTGGCAAAATATTGAAAGTAACAGTCCATTTTTAGCTGAAAGAAATACCTTCAGTAATGGATGGAAAAACAATGTGTAAAAGTCATCCCATGAGCAAACAGAAATCTCTCATATTTTGTAGTCTGCTTTTAGATTATCAATTTTTGGAAGAGCGTTAAGATAAATGAGTTGTTTTCTCTGTTGAATGAGTTCTGTCCCTGATGATAAAACTTTGGGGTTGAAGGTTACAAGAAGCACAGCAAAACTGACATTTCTTGAAAAAAGTATGATTGCAAATTTATGTTGAATATTCCTCTCTGACCCCTAAAATCTTATGCCAGATGGATGAAAGAACCGGGATAATGATCTCATTAAACAAAAGCATTTAGGCAGTTTCATGTCGACTACTGTCAGGCTGGTTGGTCCTTCCAGGAAGTCTTTTTACGGAACAAATCAGTGCAGCAAAAATGTCAAGCAGACGCCAATCAAAATGGCTGCCAATGTTGTCTGCTAGAGGCAGATGTATTCTGCATTTTTCAAACTGACACGATCACTGAACCCGAAAATAACAGTGTGAACTAATCAAGAGCACCATGGAAAAGGCCACTCATCTTCTTTTTTTAATCCAAATTCTTGCTCAAACTCAGTCAGTTTGGCACCATATTCCTCAATCATATTTGACCAGCATCTAAGGGGCCAGGAAAATGGTTCTTTAGACCATTACTAATGACTATAAAAATGAAAGCTATCACACAAAGGCACCAAACTGGCAATATTTCACTCTAAGATTTATCATACTGCTGGTAATTCTGAATAGGAAGATTAAGATGAGCAGTTTGATAAGCATTACATTACTTCAACTTGTGCTTATGTCAAGCTGGAACTGTGAATGAAAACATAAACAATCTTTATATGCAATGAGAGTTGAATAAATTCTATTACTTTTATTTCTTATCAGTTTCATGTGAATGTCATCACTATGGTCTGGAGATATGGCACTGTGTTCTCAGAATGAGTGCCTGACCAGGGTGTTATACATATTTTATATCACACCTTGCATGATAATTATCCCTTCTGTCAGCACCCTGTCATGAGACAAAGTAATATAACCAACTCATTACACAAATACTAATACAATGAGATAATTAACCCTAATCACCTCAGACAATAGCTACAGATACACGTAAACTTCATCCGAAGAAAAGTTTTGAAACTGAGGAAAACTTTTCAAACAAATCTGATGAGGTGAAATAAGCTGAAAGTCATTTTGTGGCAT